CAAGACATGTTTAATAACTTTATATGTAAAGTTCTTAATATGGCTAAATAATACAAACAAATGGGCTTAAATTAATTAAATTTGAGTTCAATTAAGTCAAATATTTAAAGGAATAATTAATTTCCCCAAGTTTTTATTATTTACACCACACATTTTTTATCACATTCACATTTTAAGCTCATTAATGTTTATGATAAATCATCAAATTTTTCTATATTACAGGCATGATTAGTGACCAAGACAAGACTGATCCCTGCTCAGGTAATGACACATTTCAAAACATTTCTTTATGAACACTGTGTAAGGGTATTGCATGGTTCTTTTCATTATGTTGTTGTAGTTTTTTTTACACTGGGTGGAGTGTGAGACATATACAATTTATACGATAGGTAGCCATAGAGGAAGAGGAAATTAGGTGCAGCAATGCATTATTAAGGCTGAATCTAAATATGCACAATTCATTGGAAAAACGTACCTGTGGCAACATTTTTGTAAAACGCAAAATACCAATACATACATATCACTGCAGTTGCCAACAGAAATAATCACCAAGCTAGTGAAACAACAAGCAGTTTTAATCATTTTCACACACAATTATCATTACAGGGGCAGATTATAGATTAATAAATATGTTTTAACGCGGCTCCTTGCGCAATTATGTTATGACCTCAAAACACTTTTTACCATAGTGCATGATTTGTAAACCAATATATATTGGAGTTTGCATCAACTGACCAGCTCCATTATGTTCAGTTCCCTTTCAGTTCGGTCACGTTCAACGTAGTCGGACATACCATTCTGATTAGGAATGCTTTGAGAGACCAATCTACTTCGAGTGTAATAAAACGAGCCAATGCACATTGGCATGCGATAATTGCATCAGCTGCTCGGCCTCGCAGCACAAGCATATAATGAGCAGCAGGTGCGTCGCATCTTTGCTTTTCGCTTAAGGGGGTCGCACACCGGACGAGAAGCGCAGCGCCGCGTCGCGCAGCGCCAGGTCTTTAAAATTCGAACACATTATTCTCTATGAGTGTACACACACCGGCGGCGCCATTCGGCGTCTGTCCGCGGCGCCCAGCTACGGCTCAGGACCTTGTTCAAAACCCTACCGCGCCACAGAGCGCCATTTGCATAGTTTTATATTAAATTTACATTTATTTGTCTCAAATCGTCGTTAATGTACATGGCTTCACCCCGTGCTGTTTTCACTCGGGTTAGCTAAACGCTAGCTAAATAAATACAATTGTATTATGTGACATAGTTGCCTAGACAACGGATAACGTTACAACAAAATAACAGACTCAACGTGATAGACACTTTTACTTGATTAACGTTCAAACATCAGCTATTATTCAATGAACATAAAAAAATAAATAATTAATCAAGATAAAACACACATCGTGCAGCTCTTCTACCAGGAGTTGATTCAAAATTGTGCTCGCGCCATTAGAATGTGCGCGTCCAGTGTGCGATACCTGGAGTTGTCCTAGACGTGGCGCGGCGCTGCACTGCGCTTCTCGTCCGGTGTGCGACCCCCTTAAGGAGCCGAGCGGTTGTCCTGCTCTGCAATCTTATCAGCGGGGGCTTTCACACTGGCAGTTTAGTTCGGAACGGGGCACGGTGCGCATGAAAAATCGCTAATGTGAACGCTGTCATGGGACCCGGGTGCGCACTGGGGTACCGAACCCGAGACTACCTGGAGGAGGTGGTCTGAGTTCGGTTGCTCCTGAACCGTGCCGCGGTTCGCGTGAATGTGAAAGCAACACGGACTCGGGTGCGCACTTGTTCAGGAAGTAAAGTAACCTGCGCATGCGTTTTTAGCTTATTGTGATGTATTTAGTTAAATAAAACGCTTGTAAGGGATTATAGTGTTGATGATTTACCTTGGAAACGAGCGAGAGTGAGCCTGCGTGCAGTGTATTCGTGCATTGCGCGTGGAATCAGGGCAACAAAGTTGGAAATCCACTGTCTCCTAAAAAGAGTCCGTTTGCAAGCAGCAGAAGTCCACCTTATGTGACACACGCACAGTAAACCTGTAGTGTTCACTCAACTGCGCATAATAGCAGCGAATTAATAAAAAAAAAAACAATATTGACCCACGTTCTGTTTTCTATCATGCGCCGTGCACGTTTGCGATGACGTCATATGCACGCAAACGCACCAGGGTTTGATAGAATCAAGTTGTGTGTGAAAACAGACCAACGCTGCGGGGGGCGCCGGGAACAAACGCGCTCGGGCTCGGACCGCAGCAAACGAGCCCAGTGTAAAAGCCCCCTGAGAGTGTTTTAACTTCAAAAAAAGAAGAAAACAAGTCTGCTTCTTCGGGAGAACGTCTCTTCAGAGCTGGATTAAACAGCGAAAGACATCTCACAGAGAGCAAAACAGCTGATTTCACAGCTCGAACATTGCGCCTTCAATGAGAATTTGAGTGCTCACATCAGGCTTGCACTATCGTCCTGTTTGTGTAGCCGCGACCATGACCCTGTACGCTTGGCACCAGAGAGAGCAGTTTCCTGAAAGAGCATACACGGTTTGACAGTGCATTTTTCAAGATGTCATTCAAACCGTGTATTTCTGGATGCAGTCGTTTCCTGTCCTCATTTGAAGGCCACGATCAATGTTTCACATGCCAGGGCTTAAAGGCATACTATGCAGGAATTCTGTTTTTGTCAAACAGCGACCCCTAGAGTCGCTGTGGAGTACCTGTATGTAACGTTACTGTCGTAAATAGCACTCAAACAGAGATGTCTCTGCACTCACGGCCTGATCCCCTCCCCCTGTATAATGGTACCTGTTCAGTAGGATGGAAGCTGTAACCAGTGGAAATAAGGTGTGGCCCCTTTAAGAGCTGCGCGCGCCCTGTTCAACTGTCGGCAGTCTGTATTGTATGTGCGCCTCGAACACCACATGTATGCGGGTTATTTCTGTTTGATGCTCATTCTTATCCTATTTTTGTTTATCAAGTAACGCTGTGGACAGTAGAATGTGTGACAGATAGTTACACGAGTTCGATTGGGCAATAAAGTGCAAGTTGTGAGATGCCAATTGCCTCCGTGATTAACTTCATGACTTCATCTGTGAGCTATCCCTATTTTTCCTCCTGACACAACGCGTTACAAAGCGTCGGACATCAAACAGGCACAGATAACTTTCGAAGATGTCTACTAGTCCATCAACAAGAACGCCAGGTCAGCATCGCTGTTGCATCCATTGCTGCTTGTTAGCTCTCGCCAGTGAGTGAAAGCCTGACCGAGTGAGACTTTTGTCCGGTTCTGCACGCGGCCAGTTTCTCGTTTTCTTTTCCTTGACTCTTCCGACCGCGTTTTCTTCGTCGACCCTGCCATGATTCACTTATGAAATGCATGCTAGTGTCTTCCATAGAGGCTGCTTTATAGATTGTTGATGTATGTGACGTCGTGCCGTAAGGCAAGTCGTGATTCTCGCGAGATTTGTCGGGGGCGCTCCTCTCAAACTTGCATTGCTGGTTTTTCCAGCGGCGTCCCCCCCAAGCTTTACTACCAGGATGATTCGCCCTACTATGAGTTTGTTTACCACCGAAATGACTTTGAAGCTGTTATATTAAGGTACAATTATTACATAGTGTGCCTTTAAGCGTGCAGAGACTGTGTTTGTGGGTAGGGGTGTAAATATTAATTGATTCGTATCGATCCATCGATTATACAGCCAACGATTTGATGCATCGATGCGTCTGCAAGAGTATCGATTAATGTGTTTATTTTGCCGCCTGTCTGTTCGCCTGTCTAGTTTCAGCATCCGCTCCGACATATTATGCGTACAACCTATTCCTAAGCTGCGGGTGGCGCTAACCTCATTACTGTCTTCTACTTCACACGCGTTACTTACGTTTCACAGTCTATCTATGTTTGTCAAATCTATCTATGTTCTTTAACACTCACGCCACCGGCCTCGCGCCATTCTCTCACGTCGGCCGCTTCCTGCTCGCCACAAATACTGTTTCTGTATTCTCAATAAAAGGCTAACTATCATGATTAAAGTTACAGCACTGGCCCTCGGCCAGACAATGTCCACTCTGGGGGTACAGGAGCGCCCCCTGGCTAAACATTGGTGCTAGACATTGCCAAAGTTCGCTTTCTCGATGCTCCCATCTCACGAGGTGGCCTTTTTCGGTGACACTGTTGGAGACTGTGCCCAGTAGTTCTCAAAAGTTTAGAAACAGGCTGAGGTAACCAAGAGCTTTCCCTGATGTGCTACCTGACTCACTCGGGGGCTGCTCCTCAGTCTATTCGTCGCCAACGGTGTCAGTCCCCTGCACACACCAACACACCAACATGTTCCAGCATTGCAATCACACCAGATATTTATATTATATATATATTATATATAATATATATATTATATAGATATATATATTATATATTTATTTTCTTCGATAGGAATTACCTAAATTTCTGTTTGGCTCCTGATCTGTCTCACGCCTGGGAGGCTCAAAATTGTATGGCTGTGGGCCATCGTAGGTTTGAGGGGGATTTTGGATCTCCTTAGACTCAAAACTCTCCATACTTGAATTGAACTTTTTTGGCACGTCTCCCTCTTCTGACGTCACAGCTCAGCTGTGTTTTAAAAATATAATCTTGACAGAAATGGCTATAAAGCTTACTGTAGGGCAATTACAGTAATAATTTTAATGATAATTACATTTTCACTCAGACATCTAACCCTTATTTAATATATCTTAAAAAAAAATGTAACCTGACATACACACTTAAACTGTTTATGACTGACTAAATCTCACAAATGTTGAATTCAGATGAAATGGAAAAATGGGGGGTCACCATCTTACCATATCCAACTTAGATGAAACGGTGTTTGCCATATTGTCAAAAATGATCTAATACAAGATATATTTGTAATTGCCTTAAAGGGTTAAAAAAAAGGTTAAGTTTCTCCTTCATGAACTTGTTTCATCACTGTTTCTTTCTCGGCTGCATTCTGAACATACCTATTGACAGATGGGCGGAGTTTCTGACGTTCGGTTATATAGATCTCTGTGGGAAATAAGCTGCGTCACTTTGCCTTCACAACTTTGAAGAGGAACATTACCAAATAAAATGGTAAGGAAATAGCGAATTACATTTATATGAAACAAAGTTTATTTATGTGTTCATTCTTTGCTGTTGTGTAAAAAATAAATTTCTTTAAAATTTCTTTGAATCAATTTCTTTTAGACAATTCAGTTTAATTAAATAAATAAATAAATAAATGAAGGTTGGGAAAAAAAATGTTGTAAATGTAAATTACATTTTGGTTAGTGTAATATTGTTTTGGTAATCTAAATAAAGTTATATTTATAGATAAATAGCAAAAGGAAATACTAATGAATTGAAAATATGTGACAAAAGGCATATTCTTCTCATCACACCATAGGCTACAGCATGCTGTAAGAAATGTGGGTTGATGAAAAACTACAATGGATCATTACCGTATGTATTTATTTCATATGAGTTATGGCTTTTTAATGTGCATTGGAAGATTTGTTTTTACCAGTGAAAATATAAATGCTTTAACGTACTCCAAGCTGCATCAATACTTCTTAAACGACTCATTTTTAAACTTAAGGTATAGATGTAAGTGTGACCCTGAGGAAGAGCCCAACCCTTTTCCTCTGGTAAGAGCGACAAACTAATTCTTTACAAGCAATGAATTGAAAGGACAGGGATTTTTTTAAATATTTCTTTCTAGGACAGTGTTTACTGTAACTAAACCCAATAACAAAGGTTTCAGTCAGTAAGTTAGAACATGTAGAAAAACATTTCTTATTTTATATTTTCTCTTAAATGCAGGCATTGTGTCAGTCAAACAACAGCATCCAGAAGTCCATGGTCGCACCAACAAACGGGGTAATGACTCGATTTCACAACAACATTGAGCAAGGTGTTCAGACATATCAACGTGTGATCATGAAGGACGGCCGCACTGTTGCAACTGAAGAGTTCAGGTGTTATTCGTTCGATTAAAGGCTGTTTAAGTCACCACATCAATGTAATTATTCATGTTATGAAATTCTAAGTACTTGTGAGGGTTTATAAGTTATATGCTGTGTATTCTCAGTGATTTCTTTTGTCTGCAAATTGAGTTTCATTTGATCCATAATGTGTTGACATGTTGCCATTAAAACTTAATTGAACTTTCAGAAACCAGTTGAGTTGCCTGATAGTAAAATAAACTGATCTCAAGGCTAACAGACAGACTGAACAGAAAGAGATCCAAAAAATACTTTAAGAACCGTATTTAAAAAGTTATTCATTACAAGGAATTAGAGAGGAATTGACCGATTAAAGGCTGCTTGAAAATAAGGAAAATGTGTTTATAATGTAATGAAAAAGTCTTTCTACTGTTTCATATCTTATGAAGTATAGAGTATACTATTCATAAAATGATGATGACTGCTGTAATGCTTCTGTCTATAATAATTCTGTCTACTGACTATGTGCTTTACTATACTGTAATTTGTTATGGTTATTGTCATGACATCAACTTAGTGCATGTAAGGGTTGATAAGTGGAATACTGTGTATTCTCAGTGATTTCTTTTGACAGTAAATTGAGTTGGAAGTCCATAATGTGTTGACATTGCCATTAAAGTGTACAAATTCAATCGCTATTCCCACCATTAACTATTAACATCGAATCCATTTAGCTATTTAATGCCTTCATTTTTTTCCTACAGGTAAATATTATTGAGTAATGGAAAAGTGACTAGATATACTGATCTGATATGAAACAAAGTCTCATGAGAGCTGCCAGCTTTCAAATTCTGTTAATTTTATCACAAAACAAAAACAATTAAAGCTGCAAGCAGCATTTATCGGTGTTTAAGCAGTTAAGGCCTTTAAGCACAAAAGCATCAAAAGACATTAAGTTTTATTTAGCATACATTTAACCACTGACATAATATTTGGAAAAGACCATTTACAGCCAATACTGGCAATTTACCATAGGAAATATATGGTTTTAAAGCTTTTTAACAGTTATAGCGCCACCGATGGTCCGATCTCCATTAAATTTTGCATGCTATTTATTTTTATTTATGATTTATTTATGACGTTGCTTGAACCCCTAATAATAGCCTACCGGTTGGTTTTGGCGCTCTTTAATGTGGCGCGAGAGATCACTGTAGGCCTAGCTACTTCCTCTTTACTATGTTACAGAACGAAATAAACACGAATGAAAATCAGAAAATATGTTGAAAGATACAGCCCAACTTACCGAAATCCGTATCATGTCTCTCATGTAATCGCTCAATCAGTGTTTCAACCACAGAAAGACCATCTCCGCCCCCTGATCCCTAAACCCACCCCTAATCCCTAAACCCACCCCTAATCCTACCCATCTCCACCCCTCGGATCTTGATCGAGTAGCCCCAGAGTGCAGTCTGGACGATGGGGCGAGGCGACAGTTTTGGGCGGGGCGACACGTGTCGCTCCGCCCACACCTGATTTTATTGGCTTATAATACAGCACTCTTTTATTGGCGTAGATGCTTAAGGCATGAGCATGCGCATTCCATTATGTACGAGTCTATGGTAGGAGTTTATGGATGATCTACGACGCTGTTTGGCCATAGCTACTACAGAAATATTAAGTTATAACCATGGCGATTTCCTATTTCAGTAACGATCAGCCAAGTGAATGACGCGCTATAATGTAAAACATCTCAATGAAGTAGGCCTACAGGTGCTGTGTCACCAAGCGTTCGTTTTTAAACAATAACTTAATCAATTCTGTGTCTTAAGTACAATAAAACAGCAATAGATCTTAACTAAAATTACCATGGTAAACCGATAAGATAGCCATACGATTAAAGTATTTAATAGTTCTTTAATACGGCCAAATCATTCATAAAATCGACTCCTCCCCGTGGATCTTATGTACTGCATTGAGGTGCTACTGGGAAAACAGCTTGCAAACAATGTCACGTAGGCGGCCTAACTCAAAAAAGCATTCGTTTACCATTAACTTGATAGTCAGCAAGACACAGACCGCTCTCGCCAGTCGCCACCAAGTGGACAGCGGTGAAAATTACAGTTACAATTCACAAATTAGATCAAATGACGGTTGGATTTCAGATTTGTCGGTCACTGCTAAAAAAAATCGTCAAAATGACGAAAAATGTTCGGTTAACGCGACCTCTGGACGAAAGCGAGTGTTTTTTTGTTTATAGCTTTATTGGAGATGACTAAATCTATTAATTTAAAAGATAGCCTACACCCTCAAATTTCTGTTAAATTATTTCCTGAAAATCATATCCTACCTTTAACCACTTATGGCTGGAAAAGGGAAAATGAATCTTGGAAGTACCAGGTGAATTAATGCCATGCATCTCACAAGACTGCAAACAAGCTGTCAGTAGGCTAGGCTAACATTTAGGCTATCCTCTGTGACATTTTGCAAAGACAAGCTTTTCATGGTATTTAACAAGTTTTAATCTATTATTAAAGGCTGTTTAAAAATAAGGAAAATGTATTTTTAATGCTGTTTGAAAAATAAGGAAAATGTATTTTTAATGTATTTTTTTCTTTCTGTGCTGTTTCATATCGTATGAAATAGAATAGGCCTACATAAAATGATGACTTCTGTATGTAGGCTATGCTTTGCTTCACCTAAATTAGATGTTGATTCTTTCTACTGACTATTTGCTTTAAAGCCTTGTTCTGGCATGAAACTCTAGGTGGCGCAGGCTGATAGGTCCTTAATTCATTTGATAGTGATCACATCATTTTCTATATCGCGCAGCTTATTGTTTGCAGTTGCATCAGCAGCCAATGAGCTGTGGCTCAACATTCAAATACGGGTAGTGTTGCTTTTAGCAGCAAAATTTGATTGTGTAATGAAAAGTGACTTGAAATGACATAGCCTACTAGCCTGACTTCGTCATACTCATATTCTAGTCAGAATGTGAGTCTGATACTGCTCCATGGCCCTGTCCTAAATGGCACACTCAGGACTTGTGGACTTCCTCAGAGTCCACACTTCGGTGAGGTCATGTAGTGCAGACCTAATAGGGCCCTTAGCGCGAGTCCGCGAGGGCACATTGAGAGGTATTTTTGGGACAGACTCGATCGTCACGCCGGAAACAGGAAGACGGTCTGATTGTTGTTATGGACAGGAGCTACAGGTTTGGGGAAATATGCTGCCTATTGTTGTTGTGTTTACATATGACTCAGTAAAGCCCTGTTCTATTTATTTAATGAATCATAATGCGATCGTATTATTTAGCTCGCTATTATTAGCCTATGTTTGAGACATCTGGTCGATGATCATAATGTTTGTATAAACTTGTCATAAAAACCGTAATGATAATTACACTTAAATATTTTCTTCTCAGCCATGTTAACAATTGTCCGTGAGCGAAATCTCCTCCCATCCGTTGTCTGATTGGCCTTTCGCAAGGATTCCTGGGTAGTTAAAGTGCGTGGAGCCTGCATCTATGCAGGCTTCGCGGAAGACCGCTTCAAGGGTACAAAGGGGGCGCTGCTGAGCACACTTCAGAGCGTTAAAATGCTAAATGGGACGGCCTACGGACTCGTAGACTCGGCGAGCACGCGCAATTTAAGTCCACGAGACCGAAAGTCCGCATGAAGTGCGCCATTTGGGACAGGGCCCATATAGGGCTTTGATTATGAGGCGTGTGTTAACCGAACCAGGAAAAAAAAAACTCTGCAATCAATTGAATAGACCTACAACCAATCAGAGCAACGCAGTAATTGTTTTTTTTTTATGAGCTACGCAAATTGTCAACAGAACTCAACTACACGCACACTGAAGGAAGTAGTAAAATAATGAGTGTTGCTTCTTTTACTTGGTCCTCCATGAGTGCGACCAAAGGAGAAACCACAACGACCACAGGGTTTTCATTGCGTCCCGTCTTCTTAGCGACCATCGGAGCCAGCTGATAAAATAAACTTTTGCCGAATCCAGTAGGAAGGACGGCAAACACATCTTTCCGATCGACAAATGCCTTGATTGCAGTTCTATGTTCGTCTTTTAAAATGAATGCGCTGTCGATTTCTTTTACAACAGACGCGATAGCGGGATCTCTACATCTCAGTTCTCCAGCTGCAGTCATCTCTGAGGGAAACCAGTTCAACCCAAGCGCTCTTTGATAATGTGATGATTACGTAACTGCAGATCATCTGTCCATCATCGTATAAAGCCCGCCCTAGCAATTTGATTGGCCCGACTAATTCTGAACCGATCATAATTACTCCTCAATGGATCGAGTCCAGACCGAACTTCCCGACCAAAAAATGTTGTGGGCTGGGTTCAGGCTGGCATCCAGGCTAATAGCCTACTGTTCATTCCTATGTATTTGCGGTATATTGTCATGCATGATCATCTAAAGAAAGACACTGATCTGAAGACTGAACAGAAAACAAGAAAGATCAGAAATCCCTAAGATATAATAATTTTGCAAAGATGGTATTTAACAAGTTATTCATTACAAGGAATTATAGAGAGCTGTGATGAATTATGGGAACAAATGGGATGACAGGGACCTCTGGTGGTGGAACGGAGAATTCATAAGAGGAACTGGAAAATTTTAAAATTTGACTCGGAATTGACTCGGAAAAGTCATAAAAATAAGTCAAATCTCAAAAAGTCATGGACATTCCTATAGTGAATACACATTTTACATTCGGCTCTAAAATATTTCATCTGCTAGATTTGTGAAAAGCAGAAAATGCTTGCAAGCCAGAGTCTTTCTGTTTATAGCTTTATTGGAGATGACTAAATCTATGAATTTAAAAGCTGGATACACCCTCAAATTTATTTTAAAAGATTTCCTGAAAACTTTTATCTTTCATCTCTGATTACTGGAAAGGGGAAATTAATTGTAAAAAATTGTGCAAATCTTGGAAGTAGCAGGTGCATAAATATGATAAATTCCATGCATCACAAGACAAATGCATACAAATCTGTCATTAACATTTATCCTCTGTGGCATAATATCAAGAGCTTTGACATTTCCCAAGATCTTTTTTTTGTCAGTTTTAATTGCATGACTGAGCAGTGAATTTTTACTATTCTTTATTCGGTTTCAAATCCATCTTAGAGACATTAATGCGCTGCTGTCCTTGTAAGAACAACCAACACATTTTTTTTTAAAATCTTCTGTACATTTTTAAGTCTGTCTGGAAATCAGTGTGTCAATTTTTCTGAAGAAAATTTGAGTAAATAATAATTATAATAATAGCTGAAATATGAAGGTATTGTCACAGATGAAGCAGAACTTTTAGAAGTATTCCTCTAGACTCGGGACATTAGAAATGTTCTTGTGTTTTAAGACAGTCTTTTTCTGGCATGCCTTTGTCATTTCTGTTGTTAAAGAACTATGATTACAGTGACAGACCTGCTTTTCAAATAAGTGGAACCACAAGCCCGCAGGGAAAAAAAGAATCGCTTTATCCTCTTTAGCTTTCAAACATTTAAAATTTGCAAACAATCCATGAATTCCATGATTGATTATTGCTTCAGTCCCCTTTGAATACTTCAAACACATGAATTCTAGTTTAGCATCTTTAAGAAATACGTTCAGTTTCTTTTACTGATAGGTTGGAGATTCTGTTATTTGGGATTCCTTCCATTGATCTCTGTGGGCTCAGTTTACTACAGCTTTGCAGAGGAGCTTTAACAGGGGAAATGGTAAGGAAATAATACATTACTTTTGAATGAAATATTTAACACTTTAGAATACTGTTCCGTAATTGATGAATAACTACACAGGAGCAAATGAGTAACACAATATTAACATTCTAATAACTACTATTAACTAACAAGAAACTCTGATTAACGAATTAGTATTAATAATATAGAATTAATAGCGCTCAGTTCAATGTGGTATAGTTCACTATTGGCTAATCATTTTTTTTTCATACCATTCAGAGAACTACAAAGAACTACTATATTCAGGTTCATAATTAATGTGAATATAATGTATTAATCCTAAAGTGAAGATCATGGTAACCCACTAGTAATGACTCAAGTATTACCAAATCAAGTATTACCAAAAATCAAGTATTACCTTCAAGTCAAGTCAAGTCAAGTCACCTTCATTTATATAGCGCTTTTAATAATATGGATTGTTTCAAAGCAGCTTTGTGATAATAGGAAATTAAAGTAACAGAGATTGTTTTGTCTTTACAGCAGCTCTGGAATAAATTTATTGTCCAGCTAAAGTTAGTTTTGATTGATTCACTTCCGTTGCAAAGATCATTATTAACTTAGGGGCCGCTTACATGACACTGTTCTAACAGAAAACCCTTAACGCGTTCCGGCCCACTCATTCGCAGAATATTTATCGCTTCCGAGTAGCCATGTGAACCGGAACTGTTTTGACAACGTGTCATCTGTACAGAGGTAAAGGAAAGGAGAAGGAGGCCTTGCAGGGGAGAGACTTTGACACTTCAGGATTGCGTTGTCGTCGTGTCCAGGCGCAGGTCCTACATCAGATCTGGATACGGCCTGGATCCGTCGGACTTCAGAAGGAATGACTTATTTGGATCATGTATTCTAAAGTGAAAAGCATGATAACTCATTATTATTGACTGAAGTCAAGGAATTACTATCCAAAACCTTTAAAAAAAACTTAAAAGCTTACAATGACTTCAGTCATTACTGAGTTATCATGCTTTTCACTTTAGAATACGGATCCTTCCGAAGGATGTAGTAAAACAGGAGTCATTACTATCCAATAAACACTTTAAAAGCTACAATGATTTCAGACATTACTAGAGAATAATCAATTTCAATATTGCTTCTGATCCAAATTATTAGTAATTTCTTCAGAAGTATTTGGTAATACTTGAGTCTTTATATATATATATATAGCCTATATATACTAAAAAAAATCTAGAAATTAATGAAATTCATCATCAAATGCATATTAAGTACAATTCAGTTTACAGTTGACAGTCGAATCCATCTGGATTAGAGACATTTTGGACTTGTTGCATTGAAATGCATTGACATATTATTTCATGTATCATGGAGAAAACAACCGACATGGCTTATAAATGATCTTCAGCGAATGTTTTTAATGAATTGACTGTTTATTGTGTAACTAAAATTCTCTGTACTGTATGTTTTGCCCTTCAAAGTTTTTTACTTTCTGTTTTACTTTTAGATGACTGACTGCTCGTGGGTGGCGATCATCTGGTGATAGGGTTTTTTTTGTTTGTCTTTCTGTCTGACTGTCAAGACGCTGTTTTCAAGACATTTGTTTGCAGTGGTAAGTCACACTAACTGTACTATTTCTTTAAATAATATATTACATTTACATTACAAGTAAACGTCTAGAAATTATGTTTGACAGAATCAGGTGTATGCAAACCCATAGAATTTAATTTATTGCTCATCAATTCTTGAGGTTGTATTATTGGTTCATTGGCTATTACTGGCTCTTGATTGCATACTGATGATTTAAAATTCTTCGAAATACCACACAATTGTTAATTATAATTTTTTTGAGCCTTTAATCCAACACAATTACAGTACCTTTAAATATAAAAACACACTGGTCAGAATTCAAGAACAAGAGGGACAACATTTTTTAAATTTTTTCTGTAACTAGTGTTTGATGTTTAACATAGACTTTAACTGGAAACTCTGATAACCAGAGGGGTTAAAAACTATATGACGAGCCACTTTAAATGAAATCAAAGGTGTAGAAATGTCTAAAAGAGAGTTTATTCATTTAAAGATAAATAATTCAATTTGAACCTTAAAGAAAATAAATAAATCAGTGACACACACATCCTTTATATATCATGTATCTTTAAATAAATAAATAAACACTATTGCATTGTGTCAGTTCACATGGTCTTTGATGTAGATTGTAATGTAACAGGATTCCTCAGCATCCATACAATTAATTTAATTACAATCAATTAAACAATGAATTAATCTGAATTTTGAATTGTTTCTCCAGATGGCTTTTTCAGCTACTACTTATGGTAAAGGAAACTTTGGAAAGGTGTATAAAGTAACATTTGGAAATACCCGTGCAGCTCTTAAGAAGGTGCCCTGTACTGTCGTAACTAAAGAAGAAATTCAGAAAGAGAAAAATATATATCGGTGAGTATTTGAATATGCGCTCAAATTATTTATTTTGGTTTATTTCTGATTGAAAATGAACGATCCATCCATCCATCCATCTTCTTCCGCTTATCCGGGGCCGGGTCGCGGGGGCAGCAGTCTGAGCAGAGATGCCCAGACTTCCCTCTCCCTGGCCACTTCCTCCAGCTCTTCCGGGGGGACACCAAGGCGTTCCCAGGCCAGCCGGGAGACATAGTCTCTCCAGCGTGTCCTAGGTCTTCCCCGGGGTCTCCTCCCAGTGGGACGTGCCCGGAACACCTCCCCGGGAAGGCGACCAGGAGGCATCCGGAACAGATGCCCGAGCCACCTCAGCTGACCCCTCTCGATGTGGAGGAGCAGCGGCTCTACTCTGAGCTCCTCCCGAGTGACCGAGCTTCTCACCCTATCTCTAAGGGATCGCCCAGCCACCCTGCGGAGAAAGCTCATTTCGGCCGCCTGTATCTGGGATCTTGTCCTTTCGGTCATGACCCAAAGCTCATGACCATAGGTGAGAGTAGGAACGTAGATTGACCGGTAAATCGAGAGCTTTGCCTTACGGCTCAGCTCCTTCTTCACCACAACAGACCGGTACATCGACCGCATTACTGCAGAAGCTGCACCGATTCGTCTATCAATCTCCCGTTCCATCCTTCCCTCACTCGTGAACAAAACCCCAAGATACTTAAACTCCTCCACTTGAGGAAGGATCTCTCCACCAACCTGAAGTGAGCAAGCCACCCTTTTCCGACTGAGGACCATGGCCTCGGATTTGGAGGTGCTGATTTTCATCCCAGCCGCTTCACACTCGGCTGCAAACCGTCCCAGTGCATGCTGAAGGTCCTGGTGTGAAGGGGCCAACACGACAACATCATCCGCAAAAAGCAGCAACGAAATCGCGTGGTCCCCAAACCTGATACCCTCCGGCCCCTGGCTGCGCCTAGAAATTCTGTCCATAAAAACCATGAACAGAACCGGCGACAAAGGGCAGCCCTGCCGGAGTCCAACATGCACCGGGAAGAAGTCTGACTTACTACCGGCAATGCGAACCAAGCTCCTGCTTCGGTCATACAGGGACCGGACAGCCCTTAGCAAAGGACACCGGACCCCATACTCCCGGAGCACCCTCCACAGGCCGCCGCGAGGGATACAGTCGAATGCCTTCTCCAAATCCACAAAGCACATGTGGACTGGTTGGGCAAACTCCCATGAACCCTCCAGCACCCTGTAGAGAGTATAGAGCTGGTCCAGTGTTCCACGGCCTGGACGAAAACCGCACTGTTCCTCCTGAATCCGAGGTTCCACTATCGGCCGTATTCTCCTCTCCAGTACCCTGGCATAGACTTTCCCAGGGAGGCTGAGAAGTGTGATCCCCCTGTAGTTGGAACACACCCTCCGGTCCCCCTTCTTAAAAAGAGGGACCACCACCCCGGTTTGCCATCCCAGAGGCACTGTCCCCGACCGCCACGCGATGCTGCAGAGGCGTGTCAGCCAAGACAGCCCCACAACATCCAGAGACTTGAGGTACTCAGGGCGGATCTCATCCACCCCCGGTGCCTTGCCACCGAGGAGTTTCTTGACTACCTCGGTGACCTCAGATGGACGAGTCCACCTCTGAGCCCTCAGCCTCTGCTTCCTCAATAGAAGACGTGACGGCGGGATTGAGGAGATTCTCGAAGTATTCCTTCCACCGTCCGACGACATCCCCAGTTGAGGTCAACAGCCGCCCACCTCCACTGTAAACAGCGTTGGTAGGGCATTGTTTCCCTCTCCTGAGGCGCCAGACAGTTTGCCAGAATCTCTTCGAGGCCAGCCGATAGTCCTTCTCCATGGCCTCACCGAACTCCTCCCAGGCCCGAGTTTTTGCCTCCACAACCACCCGGGCTGCAGTCCGCTTGGCCTGCCGGTATCTGTCAGCTGCCTCAGGAGTCCCACAAGCCAACCAGGCCCGATAGGACTCCTTCTTCAGCTTGACGGCATCCTTTACTTCCGGTGTCCACCACCGGGTTCGGGGATTGCCGCCTCGACAGGCACCGGAGACCTTACGGCCACAGCTCCGAGCAGCCGCTTCGACAATGGAGGTGGAGAACATGGTCCACTCAGACTCAATATCTCCAGCCTCCCTCGGGATCCGGTCGTGGCTCCACCGGAGGTGGGAGTTGAAGATCTCTCTGACAGGAGACTCGGCCAAACGTTCCCAGCAAACCCTTACAGTACGCTTGGGTCTGCCGAGTCTGTCCAGCCTCCTCCCCCGCCATCGGATCCAACTCACCACCAGGTGGTGATCAGTTGACAGCTCCGCCCCTCTCTTCACCCGAGAGTCCAAGACATACGGCCGCAGGTCAGATGAAACGACCACAAAGTCGATCATCGACCTGCGACCTAGGGCGTCCTGGTGCCACGTGCACTGGTGGACACCCTTATGCTTGAACATGGTGTTCGTTATGGACAAACTGTAACTAGCACAGAAGTCCAATAACTGAACACCGCTCTGGTTCAGGTCGGGGGGGCCGTTCCTCCCAATCACGCCCCTCCAGGTGTCACTGTCGCTGCCCACGTGAGTGTTGAAGTCCCCCAGTAGAACGACGGAGTCCCCAGTCGGAGCACTTTCCAGCATTTCTCCCAGAGACCCCAAGAAGGCCGGGTACTCTGCACTGCCGTTCGGCCCGTAGGCACACACGACAGTGAGAGACCTATCCCCGACCCGTAGGCGCAGGGAAACGACCCTCTCGTTCACCGGGGTAAACTCCAACACATGGCGGCTGAGCTGGGGGGCTATAAGCAAACCCACACCAGCCCGTCGCCTCTCACCATGGGCAACTCCAGAGTGGTGAAGAGTCCATCCTCTCTCAAGGAGTGTGGTTCCAGAGCCCAAGCCATGCGTAGAGGTGATCCCGACTATCTCTAGTCGGAACCTCTCAACCTCACGCACCATCTCAGGCTCCTTCCCTGCCAGCGAGGTGATGTTCCACGTCCCTAAGGCTAGTTTCCGTGTCCAGGGATCGGTTCGTCGAGGTCCCCGCCTTCGACTGCCACCCAATCCTCTCTGCACCGGCCCCTTACGGCTCTTCCTGCAGGTGGTGAGCCCACGGGAAGGCGGTCCCACGTCACTCCTTCGGGCTGAGCCCGGCCGGACCCCGTGGGGAGAGGCCCGGCCACCAGGCGCTCGCATACGAGCCCCAACCCCGGGCCTGGCTCCAGGGTGGGGCCCCGGCTGTGCCATACCGGGCGACGTCACGGTCCTTGGATGTTTGTCCATCATGAACTAATGCAGCACAATTCTTGCACATTTTGTGCAACTTACCTGCATTCAATTCATCCAAATTAGTAAATTACCCTTCATCCATTTATCATGGATACTGCCTTTTATGATATATTTCATATTTTGCACAAGTGATCTTATTGTAGGTCATTGCGTCATTCCAATGTGGTGAAGCTCCTGGCAGATCCCTGGCTCGACTCCAATGGTATGTGGAATATTCCCTTGGAATTAATTTCTGGGAAAACTCTGGAAAAACTCATGTTCAGCTCACAGTCATACATGGAGGTAAAATGACATTTTATTGATTTATTTGTTCGTTTGTTTTGTTAAAAATTCAAAGATTCATTCATTTTTAACTGATTACAATATTTTCTCAAAGGTACACTATGTAACTTTTGGCCCTTTAGCAGTTAATAAACAAACAAAAAATATGCATTTTACAGAAGAACATTGTTTTGGTTGTGCTTCAGGTAAGCGTGACTGTGAATATGACGCTTCACGATAGATGCTTTACACTGAACTCAGTTAGAGAGCTACATATGAAAATAAACCTCTTCAATAAAATACCTTACTCATGTTGAATAAGAAAAACACCAGCCATGTCTAAGCTAAGCCAATGTTGATTCTTGTTTCATTAAGAGCTCTGTCACATTCTCTTTTTTTGCCAGCAGACTCTGTTGACCGTATAGTTTACGATTCCCGGAGGTTAGAGATTTAGCGTGCTGCATGTTAGTGTTGTCAAATATATACATATTTTTTGATATAGCTATCAATACTGAAATATCTAAAATGGCTCCCATACATTTTCCACAGTTTCAATTTGATTTCTGTCCGACAGCAAGTTGATACTCACCTTCCTCTCATTCACTCCTCTCATTCGCTCCTGTTGAACAAAGTTGGTGTTACAGGGCCCGAATTTCAGCCCAGGATAACAAATATTACACATAATGTAACTCATTCCCGCAGCTTTCACCCTCACTGCTCTTGACTAAATCGCTTTTGTAACTTTAATTGTAAGGATTATTCTTTAGCCTATTTAACTTGTCTTTTTATTTTATTTTATTTTATTTTATTTTATTTTATTTTATTTTATTTTATTTTATTTTATTTTATTTTATTTTATTTTATTTTATTTTATTTTATTTTATTTTATTCAAAGTTGGAAATCATGCTTCCTTTAAGCAACAAAATTACCCAATTGTAAAAACACAAATACATTGAGTGAGCAAACATTTAGGTGAGAAAAAATATATGGCAGGTTTTCCCAGTGGTTTCGAAAATGGTATAAGGTATCGATATTTTTCATATCTAAGTTAAAAATTCTAGTATCAGGCGTATATGCAATTTCCTGCGAAAACCATCCCGACAGAAAATATACACTCACTGGATAATAGGCTTGATAGTGAATCAGGGTAAGACAGGAACACGTTTTGGAAGAAGGATTGATAATGTATTGACTCATTATTTAAATTTAGCAAACAAAGTTACATAAAACTTGGCATAGTAAAACAATATCCATTAAATAATGCATCTCATCCAAACGGTTTTTAATCGTGATGCAATTAGAACCATTTTGAAATCCCTAAAGAACATTATGTAAACATTTTTCCTTAGTGTAAACAATATTTGAATGATCTGAGGAACCTTTTTCCACTATAAAAAAATGAAAGTTTTTGTGCAATGAAAGGTTCCATGGATATGAACAGTTCTTCAAGGATTATATATATTAATTTATTTTCTTTCTCTACAGCTAACAAAGCCAGTCATAATCACCATAATCAATGGTATGTGTGAAGGCCTCGCTTACATGCACAGCAAGAGTATCGTCCACCAGGACCTCAAGCCTGACAACATCATGGTGAGATGCTGTGTGTGTCCAGGGTTTTTCACAAACAGTTGTCCTGTAGACAGACATGCGGTTAATGATGGTCCCCCCCCCCACACACACACACAGACACACACACACATGATTTTGAGTCAATTTAAAATATTTTGAGGAATTTTTCTCTAGAAACTTTTCTTTCTAAAAAAGTTCTACATTCTGAAGATTGGTTATGAATGAACAATGGTTTTTCAGTGCATGTTGTTGCATCTTCTCATCATGAGTGACTTATAAACTAAAACTCCCAAAATCGTAGACTCTTATCAGATAATACAGCTCAGTCATCATTACAGCGTGTCTCATTTAAACCTGTCTCATTCACAGGTGGAACGCAGCACTTATCGGGCTGTCATAATTGACTTGGGACTCGCCAGATTTCAGAAGAACGGCCTTTGTTTTGGCACAGAAGGAGGCAATTGGTGTTACTCCGCTCCCGAGATTTTCCAAGGAAAATACAGAGACCAGTACTCTGATGTGTGGGCGATGGGCAAAATCCTAGCAGAGCTCCTGATCGTGCCCAGAGCGAGACTCCCTCCCAACATCACCCCTGTTCATGTGGTTGCAGCCATGAATATGAATCCATATGATCTCCCGGTCTCTAGAATGGTGAACAGACTTGTTTTATTCAGACCTACAATGGCGCAGATCTTAGGACAGATTGTTCAGGCAGGGAGAATGTGGATTTTGTATACTAGCTTTTTAGGGAATGTAGGAATAGCTTTTTAAAAGATTGGCAATGAGTGTTTTACTATTCTAAATTTAGAAAACAAACTCCTTACATTTCACTCAATTCAGTCAAATCTAATTATTAATCAACCCATATATTAAAACAAACAACACAACTGTTTGCCACTGAAAAAGAAATTATCATAACATTTCAAATGAAGCCTGTTTTTATTCCATTAAACCGACACTGATCATATAATATATATAGGCCTATATTTTACTGAATTGAGTGAAATGAAAGGAGTTTTTTTTTTGTAAATGAATAAAAATCTATTTGACACATCGGTTGAGAATCGGGATCGTAACACATACTATAGGTTCACTTTCAGAAACTATTCTGGGAAGAAACTGTTACTGCTCAGAAGTTGCTCTTCATGTCTCTCAGAACAGAAGACTTCATGGAGATCTCATGCGTGTTTCAGATGTTTCTTATAAAACAGTGGCAGTTTCTTTCAGTTTGTAGTTCAACCACTAGAGGGTGTGTTTGGTCACAAACAATGTTCATCCAAGTTCCAACACAGGAAGTTGGTTTAATAATATAGATATTGTTGTAATAGACAAAGAAGAAAAAAAATATATATTTTTTAACATATCTGTATACTAACATTAATCATATGCACGAATATGGTTAAAAAACCCGAGTTGCTGTTTTTTTTCCATATGACACCTTCTGGGTGTGTAATTCTCTTGAATGTTTTGAGGAAATTCGTCAGTTTAAAAAGAAATGCATTCTTATGCACATTCTTGCATGTTTCTTGTGTCTCCCAACCTGTTTGATGACATTTCCCAGAAGTCAAAGCATGGGCTGGAAAGCAGGAAAACGTACAGCATACTTTTCATAACATAACAATAAGAGTGTTATGAAAAAGCTATACACATTATAAAAAAATATTTCTTTCTTTCTTGCTTACAGAATGAATGGACAAACAGATATTACACAATATAACTAAAAACACAATAGAACTTTTTTTTTTTTTTTTACAGAATGAATGGATATATGGATGGATGGATGAACTTGTCTTTAATTGTTCCAAAAAGCATCTTGCATTTCAATAAAAGCAAGAACCTTTTAACTTTTGTATTTATATTAATCGATTCCATCTGTGATTAGCTAATCAGTTCTATAGCACATCCTTATAAAAAAGTACTTTTAAGTTATTGTATGCTTAAGTAAAGTTAAAGTAGGCCCATACGTAGCCTAGTACTAATATCAATTTACTAGAATTACACTTGTAAGTGAACTGTTTCAATACTTGGGACCAAATTGGCCCACTTTTAGTGTATAAAAGTATACTTTTATATATACTGTAACAGTAGTACACTTTGAGTAGCCATACACAACTAGTTTATATCTTCGTTTTTACGTTACATTATATTTAATTAACACTAACCATTTTGTAGTAAATTTTAAGTAGGCCTACAATTGATGCTCTAGAGGATATTCCTGTCAGTGAAATTTATGGACAAAATTATATGCAGTGATCTACGCTGTCGCTAAGCAGTTCGTTTTTCCAGCCGCCAGAGGGAGTGTGTGAACGCTTATCTACAACAGCAAAACTTCTTTCAGTTAAAGGTGCATTGCTTGTGAACGAAAATGTGTTTGTAAATGTAAAGTAAATCAAATAATTTGATTTTATATTGATTGACACACATATTTATGTGTGAATAGTTGATGATCATTTCAAGTGATCACATTTAACCAAACAAATTGTCTACGTAAAAAAATAAAGCCACCCTACAACATTAACCTTGACAGTGTGACAAAAATAATTTCTTTGTACACTACTAGTCAAACGTTTGGACACACTTGACAATTTATGTTTCTTGCTATCTTAAAAACATTTTCATATAAAGGCTGCTTAAAGATTAGTTTTAAAACATATAATAATAACAATACATAATATAATAATGACCTAATAATACAAAATAATAATATGTCTAAATTCAACCTTAACTTTTTTTTTAAAGAATGGACCATATATATTTATTGTATTGCAGCGGGCAGTGCTTTCCGTCACCTGAGGGTGTGAGCATCATGTGACAGTGAGAATCTGAATCATCACCGGGGTGTGTCAGTGGTGAAGCACCTCTAATGATTGGCTCACAGAGGAGAAAGAGTCCCAGAGAGATACATTACCTCATAGCAGAGGAAAAAGAGATGAGCTCATACTCACCTGACTCATATTCCCAGCTCAGAGAAGCATACACTCAATGTAAAGACCCGAGTGTTTATGTGTGTGTGTGTGTGTGTGTGTGTGTGTGTGTGTGTGTGAGAGAGAGAGAGAGAGAGAGAGAGAGAGAGAGAGAGAGAGAGAGAGAGAGAGCAGAGAGAGCAGAGGGGGAAGGGTCAGTCATAGTGTTCAATAGCAGGAAGACCTGAGTGCATACTAATATCTCTTGAAATATAAATTATAAAATAAGGAATTGCAAAATAGAAAATAAAAAGGCATAAATGGAGTTAGAATCTCTTAGAACAAATATTTTATTATTATTATATACTATTATTCATTGTTATTTATTATTATTATTTACAAATATATAAACAAAAATCGCATAATCCATATTAAGTGTGATTGATTCATTAATATAAAATTTATATAATGTAATATATCAGACCAGATGCTGAAATTCTTATTCCACATGCTTGCATTATTACTTTTTAATATTCTCAACAACAACAAAAAAATCATGAAAAATAATAATGCAAGCAGAATTTCAGCATCTTCTCTAAACTGATATCACATAATATAATAAGAAATCATAATTAGTTGACAGAACATTATTTTTTCTTATTAAAATTACAGTTTTCTCAAGAAATTCAAGAAAAAATCTTTTCAATATATTCTATTATGTATTAGTTAGGTTTGAGGTATTAATGCTGACTGATTCCTTTCATTGTTATATGACACCACATTACGGCATGGCATACGTACTGACAAATGCTCTGCTGGATGATGTCATATTAGGTCATCATTTACAGTATGTGGGTGTAGTAAGTACAATATGAGTATATGCAAACATATTGCTTCTGCGAGGAGAGAGAATCTTCATCAAAAGACGTTTCCAATGACTAGACATGCAGGTTCCGAGTTGAAAGACAAAAGGGGGACTTTATAAACAAAAGACCCAGGCCCACAGACAGGCTGGGCAGGCCAGGAAACATGATCTGTTATCCATAGTTGATATTGATTTAGGCCTTGGGCTCCCAGTAGACACCATTAATGGAGGCAACTGACCTTTTGGACATACTGACTGTCACTAAGGTGCTGGCTCTGATCCAGAATCTGTGAGAAAGACCCGTCCTGTACATCTCATAGTGTTGCCATCTGATCGACTGATGCTGCAATGATCTCCTTCGTGTGCCAAACCGTTTGACTGGCCAATTAAAAACACTATGAAAACTGTATATGCAAAGGATAAGAGAGCTGATCGCCTCTATATTTGCCATGAGAAGAATTTCTTAAGCATCTTTCATAAGAAATTAGTCGAGTGTATGCTTGCCTTTGATGGTAAAGAAATATGACATTCTGTGATTATGTATAGTCAATATGCATGTAAATCAAACCAGCTGCAAGATTTTGCAAACTACACTACAGTCTCATGTTGTCACTATAACCAATTTTTTTCACAGCTGATGCATTATAAATCTAAAACTGCATATCATCATCCACACACACACACACACACACACACACACACACACATATATATATATAGGCTGCTATACTGTACATATGTGTGTGTTGCAATTTTAAGCATGTGTTAATTATAACTTCGGATGACCAAAATTTGTATTAGTGTTTGAACTGTTACCTAACCCTAGCTTGCCTATAAATCATATTTAATAGGTTTGACTGTGACAGCTTACCCCATATAGTGTAATTAGATGCCTTACTTCAAGGTCAACACACGTTAAATTAATTAAATATTTTTTTTTTTTGTATTCACATGCATTTTTCAAAACTATATATATATATATTTATTTTTATGTCCAAAAGCTCTTTTGTTGTATAAATGTGTCAGTACAGATTAATAACTGATTTTCACAAATAAACCCACCCTGAAAATATTCACTGGGGGTAAAAAGTGTGACAAGGAGTGTTATTAATTAGCTTAATATTAACTAAATGTATTTTTGGTTAATATTAATATTAATATTATGTAATTCAAGCTACATTGTCTTCGTATTATTATTATTACTGTTATTATTCTTATAGCTGCTGCTGTTGTGGCTGTTGTTGTTGTTCCAGATTTCATCTTTGCCGCCAGGCGTGGCATCATGAGGACAGTGGCGTCTGAGGTGGAAACACGAACGCTCTTTGTTCAAGGTTTGCCTGAGATGTTGCTAGACACGTGCTCTCTCTCTCTCTCTCTCTCTCTCTCTCTCTCTCTCTCTCTCTCTCTCTCTCTCTCTCTCTCTCTCTCTCTCTCTCTCTCTCTCTCTACCATAAATGTGCAGTGCAGATCCTGCAACGTCTGTGTGATAACTCCCCGTGTCTCTTCTTCTTCTCGCTGGCCGTGTGCTCTTCCTCTCAGTGTAACAGCACTCCATGCGCAACGGTAGTCCAAACAACAACTCAGTGACCCGCTGCAACCAACGGCAAACAGGGTGGGCGGACCCCCGAATTATGTCAGTTTAACTCTTTCATTCTGGGAAAAATACTGGGGAGACAGATGTTTCAGTTCCTCTGCTTAAAAACCACGAGTATTCTCCGGAAAATTTCGGTCATGATATGACTCTCCATTGATCAATCATAACAGAACTGACGTTGTTGAAAATGTAGAAAGCAGCTGGACGGTGTTGTTTTCAGGCGCACATGTGTTATCATTCTGGCACGCCTCTCCGCACAACAGAATACGATGAACTATGATGTTGAAGCCTAATATTTACGCATTAAATTATGTTTTGGATTATTCATTAGGAGTGAGTTGTGGGTTGCTACAAAGGAGTCTGAAATGCAACGGGATGGATGGATGGGTGGATGGATAGATGGATGGATGGTGACTGTCTCAGCGAGGCAGGGCATGGCAAGCTGTTTGAACATTTATTCTTATATTTCTCAAACTGCATCAAAATGCACTGTAAATACTAACACAATATTGTAAAAAAAATTTTACATAAATTAATTTTAAAATAGCAAACAATTTCCATAGTAGGCTATAGCGTAGTATTTTGCAGTAGGCCTACTGCACTGGTGTTCACATTAATATTTTTTATAAAAGATGGTGACTGACTTGCGGGTGATAACACACTTGTTGAGCTTTCATAATAATTAAATTACACCATGCAAAAAAAAAAAAACGAAACATGTTTTTTTTTTAATGTCCCATAAATGGAACTGGATAAACAGTACTACTAACAATAAACGAAAATAGTAAAATAATAATAAAAAAATAAATAATAATACAAAATATAAAAACTGTATTAATACTGTTACTGTATTAATTCTACATTTATTAATAAATAAATGCAGCCTTGGTATGACTTAATGTAGCTATCCCTTTTTTTTTTTTTTATTCAAAATATTCCCAAATTTGTTAATTGTAGGCTATCATGAACTATATGATGTATTCCGATGATCAAATATGTGGAAGTGAATGTTTTTTGTCGTTTAAACACCTTTATAATGATCATGTTAGTTGACCTATAAGGCGTGATGGGCGCCGGCCCTACAAAACAATCACAATATGTATATATTTGATGCATCTTATGTTTTTGTTGTTGATTTTTGTTATGTTTTTATTGTTTGTATAAATATGTGTATATATATATATATATATATATATATATATATATATATATATATATATATATATATATATATATATATATATTACTTATTCAAAAAGTGGAACAAAAGCAGGTATTACAATTGTGTTCATTGTTACTTAAACATAAAAATAAAACAGTATCGTAAAATAAAATATCGCTCAGTGTCATAAAATCGATTGATTCTAGGGAATACATGCTGTTGCGGCTTGCCATAGGCGGGGACTGAGCGAACCAGACGGGGTGGAGCATCAGTTAGCCTGGCCCTTCTCGGCGCAGACATCCTTGTGTCCCGTTCGCCTTCTGCGTATCGGAACCGGAGAGGGGGCTGGTCTGTGGGAGGGACTAGCGCAAAGGGGGGACTTGGACCAGGAGGGGGCGGGGTGGCGGCGAGGGTGCTGTTTCTCCAGTCTCTTACCAGTGTCTTTGTCTCACACTCTTTTGTTAGCCATGCCTAGCTTGCTGGTTCTAGCAGGGATCATGGAGAAAAATGGGGGCTACGGCGGGGATTTAGCCGGCTCCGGGTTCGGTAGCGAGGGTCTCCTAGTGCCGCCCGAGGAGGAGGAGGATGATTCCCGTGCCCTTAGAGTTGCGCTGGGCCAACTGTCGCTGCTGGGTCTTGGAGAGGGCGAGGACGGGGCTCCTGCGGGTGGTGGTGGTGGAGGAGTTCAAGACAGGAGTAACAATAACCACCACAATCACATCCCATCTGAATCAGGGATGTTACAAGGGAAGAATAAGTTGTGCGCCCTGTACGAGAGCTCGCCGACCGAAACCAAAGGACGGGGCTGCAACATAACGGAGTGCGTCCCCGTGCCAAGCTCCGAACATGTGGCCGAAATAGTGGGGAGGCAAGGTAAATACAACGATGCGCACTTTCACATGCTTTCAAACTCGTTCTCCAGGGTGTGCGGCTCAAACTAAGTCTGGAGCTGTCTTAACAAAGAAAAAGGGAGTGGTAATGCTTTTTAACGTGTCTGTTTTTGCCGAGCTGTGCCACTATTTCAGCGCGTAGATGCCATATACATGGGCATTTCCTCTTAGCTTTAAGCAAAGTTACCAGCGGGTACGAGAACAAAGGCGTTATTCCACATCCACGCCTTCAATGTCAGCACGCTGCTTTCCCTTTGTCGTCTGAGGGCGCGTAATTCTGTTTTTTTGAAACAGAAAATGGAACGCGTGTGCGCTCGCTGGATACAATGTAACAGTCAACGGTCTTTGTTGACTGGATACATTGTGTCATTCGCTCCTTCGCGCGCCTCTGTAGTTCCTGCGGGCTTTCATATGCAGCAGCAGCAGCAGCAGCACCACGTTGTTTATGTTAGGCTACCTCAGACAAAGAGGACTTGTCGGATAACTTAAGTCCACCGCCGCTTATCTCCATAATATCGCGAAGCTCATAAAAGTGGGTCTCGTGAACAACTAAAAGTGCTGAAATTCTGACAGCGATGTCAGACAAAGAAGTGAAAGTCCTTGTGTGCTTTTGAGGGCAAAGCTCGCGCGGGGGGGTGGGGGAATGGGAAAATACAAACATGACTTGGCGGAAAAGTTATATTTTGGAATGTGTGATGATATTTGGAATAAGTTGAGGAGGCAATATCTTGTAGTTGACACTGTCTCATTGTGATTGACAAGTCACTTCATGATACATTGAAATCACAGTATACAGTATTCTAGAAAGCCATGTTGCATTTGGTCCTGGAGAGACAGACTATAAAGACTGTATGAGAGTCACGCCCCGTCTACCAGTACAACATCCCTGCACTCAAAGCAGGGGGTCAGGAAGCCTCTATGGAGCACACTGTCCATTCATTAAAAGTGTAATATCTTACCCAGATGAAATATGCACTAATAACCGTCCCCCTGCATATAACGACTTTGTCTAGTAAAGTGGCCTGTGTGTTTCAGAAGTGAACGCTTGAATCCAACTTGGGATGCAGTGAGCGCGTGGATTGGAAGTTGCTGATTAAGAGGATTTGAAATGGGGTCTTTACCTCATTAGTTACTGATATAACGGCCACATCCTGAGCTGAATAACTAGACATTTGTTTGGCCTTTATTAGGTTAATTTAATTGCATTTTTCTATGAGTAGATTTGGCCTGATAATAACAAGCGAGAGTGATGGCGAAAAAAGCAGCACACTTATGTATCCTTGTTATCGCCATTAGTTGGGAATTTGAGCTGAGGTTCCAGTGCTTTGTTCACCTGCAGTGGCTGCCATGCCTGTGAGGAGATGTGCTCCTGCAGCGAGGGGGACGATTCAGCGGCGGGAGGGAATCTGTGCTCCCCGCTGTCAGTGCTAGACAGTCCATCCAGGTTATTTTTTTAGCTTCTGCTCTACACAATGAGGCATGAAACCAGTGTGCAGAGATCTATCCACTGAACAGGCCCCTGGGCGGAGAAAGCCACCCCACTCTTGATAAGACACCACTGAGGTGCTAATAAATACTCTGGTGCTGTACACGAGGCAGATGCTGTGGAGCACCACACCTTGTTATGAATTCATATCTCAACAATAACTTTATGGGGTATTTAGCTTGCTTGCAATGCAAGAGAATAGTTGGGGAATTTACATCTGAAAACACATTTTACACATTTGTTTCAGTGCTGAATATCATAGTACCTGTGACTGTATGTTAGCACATGGCACTCTTGCAGAGGAGACGTCATTCAGACAACAGGGATTTTTAAGAGCTTTTGTTTTTCGCATTCTATTAGGATACGTCAATGCAGACTGGAATTTTTTAAATATGGTAAATGGGATTTATTATGGTAAATACTTAAGATAATTTAAAGCCAACACATTTCTTTCTATATTATGAATAAACAGCAAAAATATTACTGAGACTGTGTAATGCAGCAAAAAAACAAAGCCATTGTTTTAATCGATTTGTACGTTTACCACAACAGAGAAGAGTGAGCAGCCATTTCTAAATTCACTTTGGGCCTCATTCATTAAACACGAGCAGAAGAAATTTCAGTGCACATTGTATAATCAATAGTTTTACGAACAGAAACGACAAAGAAAGAAAGATTAACACAGATTTGATTCTGTTTATGAATAAGGTTCAGTGGGTTTAATCAAATACAACAAATTGCAAGACAATCCTAATTTTTATCATCAAAGATTTTACTTTAGTATATTGTATACAATAAATAAGACAATGCTAATTTTTATTACCAAATAATTTTATTTTAATATATTGTTTACAAAAAAAAAGTAAAGCCAATGCTAATTTTTATCATGAGAAAAAAAAAGTGTATTTGGTATAATGGTTACAATAGAAAAAGCAAGGGCAGGCCCAGACTGAACTGCTGATGAATCTGCAGAATTTTGTATATTAGAGCATGGTAAAATTATAAAACCCAGACAAAATTGTGTTAAACAGAGTAACTATACCTTTAATGAGACCTGAAAACACAATCAAATTATCCCAAATGTGTAAATAAATGACACTTGAGAGATGGAGAACATGAAAAACTTTGTGAATGAGTTCTGCTGCAGATTCGGAGCATGGGTGACCTTTTGACCTGGAAACAAACAAGCACAATAAGTGTTAATTGACAGATATTAATAGTACCACTACTATAATATTCCTTCTCCACTCAACAGGTTGCAAAATCAAAGCTTTGCGTGCCAAGACGAACACCTACATCAAGACCCCCGTCAGAGGCGAAGAACCAGTCTTCCTCATCACCGGCCGCAAAGAGGACGTGGCCCTGGCCAGACGTGAAATCATCTCTGCTGCAGAGCACTTCTCCATGCTGCGGGCCTCCAGGAACAAGCTGGGCGTCTCGTTCAGCGGCTCGCCGCCTGCACCGCTCCCTGGCCAGACCACCATACAGGTGCGGGTGCCCTACCGCGTCGTGGGTTTGGTGGTCGGACCCAAAGGCTCCACTATAAAACGCATCCAGCAGCAAACGTGCACTTACATCGTAACCCCGAGCCGCGACCGCGACCCCGTCTTCGAGATCACCGGCTCCCCTGGGAACGCCGAACGGGCTCGGGAGGAAATCGAGGCGCACATTGCTTTCCGCACGGGTGGCCTGCACGACCACAACAATGAGAACGACTGCTTGGGCCCTGACAGTGGCAACGGGGGTCTGGAGAGCCGCCTGCAGCAGGTGTGGGGGCTCCAGGGGGCCCCGCGCAAACCGCTTGCCAGCAGCTACCGCCAGAATTTCTCAGACACCATGGTCGGAAGTAGCGGAGGAGGAGGAGGAGGGGGAGGGATTTACAGTAAAGGTGACTTTACCAACCACGGCAACGGGGACAAGCCGTGCTCTTACTTCGGCTCGGAGGGCACTCAAAGCTGGGGCGATCCCGACTATCCCAAACAGGTGGCCTACTATGCCCAGCAGCGCTCCAAAAGCTTTGGAGGCCTGCCTCTCCCTCTGACCAGACTGTCGCCGGGACTGCCCGAACCGTGCGGCACCAACAACTCCAACGCCGTAGGGTCTCCTCACGCCCAGGCCCGCCGTGCCCACAGCGAGCCCACCGCCACCACGGTCACGTTCACCGGACGGCTCCCCGTGCCGGATTCACCGCCTGCCGTGGCTCGGGACTGCATGACCTGCTTTGAGAGCAAAGTGACGGCCGCTCTGGTCCCGTGCGGTCATAACCTCTTCTGCATGGAGTGCGCCATCCGAATTTGTGAGCTAAACCATCCAGAGTGCCCTGTCTGCCACACCCTGGTCACACAGGCTATCCGAATATTCTCTTAAAGAGTTGTTTTTTTTCTTCGTTTTTTTGTGCTTTGTTTTTACTCTGTAGTATCAGTTTACTTTTAATCTTTTTTTATTTGGCCAGTATTCACTTTTTTATTTTTCAGAAAACACAAAACCAAAACAAGCAGATATTTTAGAACACACTGCTTGCTTTACTAAAAAAAGAGGAAGAAGTATTTTCAGATTTTTCTTTTATATGTACACATATATACATATATATTTTATAAAAGTTTTTTTAAAAATGGAAAGAACGTAGTTCTTAGCATGTTCATTTTTGTTTATTTTGTTTTTGTTTTTTTTACTGGTGCTGTTTTTTTCCACATGCTGTGTGGACAGTAACAGGAGAAATAATGTGAACATTTTACACTTTTCCTTTGCTGGGGAGGTAGAAAAACAAATATCATTACAAGTTTATTTCCTAAGATTGGAGTATAGTTTTTCATCCCAGCATCTTCTGCAAATGAGCTAGTATTCTTTTTTAAGGTAAACTAGAATCTTAAATCTTTGCACCTTAAAATTGATGTAAAGTGATTGTCAGAAACATTACATTGCTAGATGTCTATGCGAAATAGATGGTATAGAAATGGCCAATATGGGCTGATATATATACGACCTGATGTCGGTGTGGCTTTAAATTTGGATCATGTTCTAAACAACACAATTACACAATTAGTATCTGCTTTGCTAATCAATATTTGAACGGGTAATTGACGAGTAAAACAGGGAGTTTCTCTTTTTTGGTTTTGTTTCTGCACCAGTCAGCCTATTATGTGATGCATCTAAAAAGGGTCTTATTAGGTACAATACAAGAAAAGAAAGAAAAAAACTGTTTTCAGAGCAAATTTATTGGTCAGCTCAAAAAAACCTTGGAACTCATCCAGCGCTCTGTTGTTCAAAAGGTCTTTTCCAGGTTCCTTTTACTAACGGTTTTTATTCTCATTTCTGCACTCAGTATGTTTATGATTTTTTTTTTCCTTCAATTTCCACACATTTATTTGGTAAAACACTGATTACAAGCATAGGGCATGAGATGAAGTAGAAAAAGCAAAAAAAAAAAGCTGAGGGGGCGATTGAGGGGAGGGGGTTTGTAATCTGATCCTGAATAGACCAAATAGACAAAAGCAAGCAAGACTTCGAGCTCCAGTACAATGTAAATCACCCACTCACGAGGTCCTGCATTTGAGTTGCAAAGCGTCCTCTGACTGTCTGTCTGTACTGAGGCAGGTGTTGCATATCGTACTTAAGATTAAGTTTTTTTTTTCCTCTAAAAGGTCGGGCTGTCGGGGGGGGATTCTACTCTAATTCTACTCGCTGCTCCGTGCATCATACGCTGTAAAGACTACAGAGCTCCTCCCAGAGAGTATATTGTTTTGTCGCAGTGGTGGTACAATCCCCGGAGCGCCCCGACATGGCCTGCCCTAGGAGGAGCTGATAATTAGCCATACATCAGAGTCCAGGTGCAAAGCAACTGCTGTAGGAAGGAGGGGTGGCGTACAGTGGCGTGAATGAGGATGGACGGGACGCCACGCAGGGGGCTAAACTAGGTGCAGCTGGGGCCCCTCCTGTCGATCGCCCTCTCTCTCTCTCTCTCGCTCTCCCCATTCTGGTATTCCCAATGGGGAGAAAGGGGGCCTCTTTTGTCCTGCCATGGGGTGAAAAAAAAATTCAAGAGCAGATTTTATTTCAAAGAGAAAACCTGGCGTTCTGGGTAGAGAGAGACGAGATAGACCCGAAGCATTTTTAATTCAACTCACCGAATTCCTCGTTTAATGTGCACGAGAGGTAGGCCGTCGAAGTTTCCATGGAGTCTTCCTTCATGTGCGGGACATCCTGCCGTGACCCCCTCGAGACAGCCCTGCCAGTGCACGGTCACAAGCAGCCAATCGCAGAGCAACCTTGAACTCCACAATGAAATCAGACAATTGTAATTGACAAGAAAGCAGGGGTGGGGGGGAAACGCCCAATTTGGTGGCTGCTCATGCTGAATCAAATTACACACACACTGCCTGTCTCATTGCAGGCTAGGGGATTTCGGAATAGGGGATTAGAGCATTTGGAGGTTGGGAAACTGTCTTTTTTTCTCCTCTCGCTAGAAGGCCACTACAAAAGAATGGAGCCACTGAAAATGTACTCTGTTTGAAATGGGTCAGTTTTTCCCCCCATCAAGCCTCTCTGCGCCATTGCCACATGTGCCCGGTGTTAGAAGATATGCTAGGGTAAGCTTGTGATTGTATTTAACTTACTATAACGATTTACCTTTGAGCCATTAGCATCTTAAATATTAGTTCTGACAAACTTTTGACGCTCAGTTTGACTGTTACAGTAGTCTTTTGCCTCGTCTGATTTGATGTATTACGGCCGCATTAGCGCCTGACAGTGTTTTTGTTTTGCTCTTTTGTTTACGAGAACAAGTACTTTCTATAAGTGTCAATGTAATAACTGGTACTTTCTTTAATCGAAATATATTTCAAGTCCCTTTAAGTAACTCTCAGATGCTGAAAAAACTGAAAAGGCTTAAAAAATTAAAGCTCTTAAAAGCACCTTATTTTTAAGAACGCAAACAGCATTTGCAATCGGAAAGCTAGTGCATTTCTCAAATGGCAAATGTTACCGTTATTATTGCACTTAGGTTATATTTTGGGTTAGTTGGTTGTATTTGCACGGATAGCGCATTTTGAACAAGTCACTTAGTTATTTCTAAATGTCGCAGTGTTTAGGAATAGCATCTTAATTTCCTTTAAATAAAAGGACACCAATACGACGGTATTGAATAGAGCTTTTTTTTTTCTTTTTCTGGTTCTTCAAATCCCCAGCACTGATCAGGGACAGACGTTCATCCATTGAAGGAATGTATGATTGTGCATTTCGGTCATTTATATATACATATATAAAAACCAAAAGCATTTCGAAAAAGGAATTGATTATGCAAACCGTAATAGCTCGAATTTCAGAATCTGATTCAGAACATTTGTCTGGCTATAAACCACATTTTGTTCTCCTGCCTCTTTTAAGGTCACCAGGTCAGTGGACGCAGGAAACAGCAATAACTATCTTAATACTTAATAAAACAAGATATCAGTTCATCTTTATCTAAAAATGCACTGTTGATAACCCTAAGAATTGTTTAAAGCCATGCACATTGTATTTCCACAATTAAAGCCCTTTTTGAGAGCGAAACAAAAGCAGTGACGACTTTCCCAATTTGAAAATGCAGCGCTTCAAAAGTTTAGTTTCTTAATCAAATGTCGCAACTTAAGAGTGATGATATTGTTCAAAGAATGTAACCTGAATCAATAGAGAAGGTGCTGTTTAAGTATTCAGAGCGAGATTTTATTCAATACAGGCTTTGGAAGGGAGACATTTTAACTGTTAAAGACTTTATACAGCCAATCACAGCAAAACCTTTTTTAAGTATTATTTATTTGATAGGAATAAGACTATATTTATTGACATTTAGGGAGATATATAATAAAGACTGACTACCATAGGCATATCATTGAATATATTTCACTATATAAGCAATTGTAATAGTCTTTAATAGCCTACTTGCTAGTTTGTAATATTACGTAAGGCATCATCATTCCAATAGAAATTAAATAAATAAAAATAAAGTGTGAAGGTAATGATGCCCCAAAATCTGAAAGCTCTTCAGAAAATACATAACCAAAAATTAGGGTTATCACAATCAGTTAATTCATATATAGTTTAGTTTGTAGCATTTGCTATGCCTATACTGAATGCATACAGTTATGACAATATAAACATTTCTACACACCCCATTGACAGGATATTACTGCATCTAAGAGCAGCCCATAAGAAATAAAAAATATATTTAAAATGCATATCAGAACGGTCTAATCATCTTCATTCCAATAATTTCAGAATGACAAGGGCACTACTGTTACGCCTAATCCAAAATAATAACTGCTCATGCAAAGAGCCATTCTGATCGAGAGGGGGGAGTGGTCACAACGTGCGACAACAGATTCACAAGGAAAAGTGGTCCAGTTTAGGGACTAACAGGTTTAACAAGAATGTGTCGTCTAACGTGAAGCTTAACATTATAAGAACCACTGTGAATCGTTTCCGCTTCTGCTTTTTTCTCTCTCAGTAATTACGTGGTGTTGTTAAATAGTTGCAATTCAACAGCTTCTCTCGCTTCTTTTTGGTTGTGCATGCTGGAAAATTATTTTAAAGAGCATTATTTACCTTTGAACAGCCTGTGTAGATAAAATATAACAGAGCCACTTGTACTACAGAGAACTTTAGTGAGGACTACAGCTGGTGTTTAAATGTAATGCTGTACAATGATACCAGTTTATTTTTCCAAACATATTTCTCTTACCCAACATAAAGTATCTAATGCACAAATACCCCATTTTGTACAGGGTTTTTTTTTTAGCTCATATGTTTACACACCCCTAGCAGAATCTGTTTAGGTGCATTTTAAGATTGTATTTTTTCTTTAGTACTGCCCTGATGACGCCATATACAAAATAATTAACACTAATAATTCCCTTCAAAATCCACATACTCGAGCATCAATGATCGTTTGCAGCCTTTTGTGAAAGCTGCACGAGTCCCTCAATTGTCCCGAGTGTCAAAGCTGAAGATCAAGATCGTATAGCCGCTGTGGGGAAGAACACAAATGTGCAGAGCATGCTGGGAAACCAAAGAACTTGGGGGATGTTGGTCAGGACAAACCAGAGACTCAAAACTATATCGCTTAAGATTACAAACAGTCATTGATGCTATAGATGAGGAAACACATGATATTAAACAAAGGCATGTGAACAATGTTTGAACAATTTTTGTCTTGTGGAATTTCTTAAATATCTGCATTAGGGATGTGCTAAAAATAAAAAAATAAAATGCAATTTAAAAATTCTTCAAGGGGTTTGCAAATTTATGAGCTGAACTGTACCCTTACTGCATATTCCCATAACGGATATATTTGCATTTTTAGATTTGTTCATATTTTCTATACGCCCAACTAGGCGAACAGTATATATGTTCTTACATAGCAGATAGCGAAGCTGCATGTATTTATCTGTAAACACTGCAGCGTCCATTCTATAGAATCACCAGAGAACATATACATGATGCACTTAAGCAATTATAATGCCTTTCAGTATAGTACAAAAGGGCAAATAATGTATTTGAATGTAAAAATGGCCACCCAACCAATGTCTCATTTTTTTTGTTTTTTTTTCTTTATCAAAAGTGAGCTTTAGGTTTAAATTTCATGGCTAGAGAAATACCACCATATCTGTTTAGGTTCTTCCTCACAGCATTTATACAAAGCAACTTAAAAGGGGAAAAAAAAGTCTTATAGCTCTTTCGTAAGATTCTATTTTGCTAACATGCATTATTATTTCATAGACAGAGGAAGAGGTCAGTATCTGGATGTTATTTATGAATATCTTTAATGAAGCAAACATATTTATAAGTAACTTCAAGACGTTTTGTTTTTTAATTAATAAATTAAAAAGTTAATATATTTCTAAAACGCATGAAGTTGATTTCTACTAAAATGATTAAAACTATAGAATTTTTATTTATGAAAGTTAGAAAATTCCTTCACACTTCTGACGGCATAATACGAGAGGGGTGGGGTTTCAAAGGCTTATATTTTAAAACGTCAGATACGTGCCGTTTTAACGTGTGCATTAACAAACGGCAGAAATATTTTATAGCATTCGGGGGAATTTTAGTCACTTCAACTTTGTGCCTCAATACCGCGTTTTTGCATACTAGAAGCACTCAGAAGTGTTGTGTACCTTTCCTTTAACACCTCATAGCTGAGTGAATTAAAGGGTCCCTTCCTTTTTTTTATTATCAAATTGCTTTGTTTTTAAATGCAATTGTTATGAAGCGATAACAGGCTGAAGTATAACAGGGTGAAACAGAAAAATGATTGTGCATAGTAATACAAGCAAAATTCAACTACATGTAATGACGTTCCGATTTCCAATCGTTTAAAAATATGCATGACTAAACTTTTAAACAAAAAAAACAAAAAAAAAACTAATCACACTTTTTTTCTGCAAATCAGACATTCCGTTATCATATTTGTTTCCAGATATGTGAACGGGATGCAATTGCGAGCACACTCACAGTAATACCGTTATTTGCATGTAACTTGTATCATCTCTTAACTGGCAACCTGTTTTGTCACATACAAATGAGGCTTATGTACAAACTACACTCAAGGGCTGATGATTACAGTTCATTATTACCGAGAGTGTGTCAAACACGTCAAAGCGGTGAACTATTGTTTACAAGATTACACGGAGAAGCATAGTCTCTCAATACTTACTTCATGGTGAACACACATCTCGACTTTGTTTTGGCTCTGTGGTGGCAATGATAGTTGTGTAGTGGTTTCAATTTCAGTCAGACAGGAACATGGGTGGGGGGGTTAGGATGGTCATTGATGTGACCTCGCTTGGGATGAGTTACTCCGGTCCGACAGTCTGTATTTGGTAGCTTCCAGCACAGTAGAAGTGTTTCATACAGCTCTCATAGTGGTATTAGTGCATTAGTTTGGTCAAGCATCTCCTGGTACTAGTGTTCAATTTATTGTTGATAAACGAGGGGTTTGCCATATCATAGACGAGGCTAGCCGACACTCCACGAGTCGTTTTAATTTCATAATTCAGTATCGTGTCTACACGGGGCACGCAAACTGCAGGTTTTTTCCTTAGAACATGTTCTTTGTGACCTTCATTTTTGATATTTGATCAATGTATCTATGCCATACTAGTTTTGATTCTTTGGTTACTTTCAAGAAATTGTATTGTAAATGTTTCTAATAAAACAAACTGAATAATCGGTCACAGCTACCCTGAATTCTGTTGGTCTCACACCTGATGATTTGAAACAAAACTGATTTTATTCATAAATGTCATTAACATACACAGAAAAATCACCAAATATTTGAAAAATAGAAGTGTCCATGGGTTCCCACATTCATGGAAATATGTGGAAGTATCAGAGAATTGCCTGGAAAAGTCATGGAAATTAATAACATTTCAAAAAGCTCATAAATATTTCATCAACTAGAAATTGTTTGTTGTGAGTGCAATCTCTCTATACCATGATTTTACTTATCCAGTATTCAAGAACGACTGGAAAGGTCATATGGAAGTCACTGGTCAAAAGATGTGGGAACCCTGAAAATCACAAGCTTCCGAGTGTCTATGTAAACCCAAGTAAAAAAAACAAAAAACAACAGCCGATAAACATCCATGTTCATTGAAAATGTATAAATGTATTTGCCATATTCAGAGCCTTTGTTCAGGAGTCCCACTGGGAAAAGAACAGGCACGATGACAAAATCTTCCCAAAGCAGTAATTATCAACGTCTCCCGCTAAACGGCTGATATTCAGCATAACAGATTGATGGCATTAGCATTAATCTTTCAGGGAAGGCATTTAGGGAAGCACCTTGTGTCGTGTATTTGAAAAAATTACAACACTACTATAAAAAAAAAGCCAAACGCACGACCCCGACGGGCCCATCCTGAGGAGAGGAGAATATAAACGCCACTGCAAACGTACGCAAAGATAAAACCACACCAAAAGCGTAGAAGACAGAAAAGCTGGGACAGTGAGTGAGATCTCAAGAGACCTGCTGCTCTTCGGGTTACATGTAGCAGATAACAAGGGTGGCCAGAGAGGAATTCGCTTCCAGTAAGAAAACCTCAGCAATACATCACAAGCCATCAGTTTCCCTGCCTTGCAATATAATATGGTCAATGTACCCAATGACAGAAGCTCCTCTTAGAGAACCGCATCCCACCTGCCACTCGTTTTCCAAGCAGAAAAAAAGACTATTAGTCAAAGACAACACCCAGAAACCAGCTTAAAGCAAAAAAAAATATAAAAATCATGCAAGTGTGCATTGAGCGACAGAAAGTACAATCAAATATATATAAAGCATAAAAAAATGTCTGACCCGCACCTGTACTTTGAGTAGGGATGGGAATCGTAGGTATTTAAAGGAATGGTTCACACAAAATCTAAAATGTTATCACAATTTGAGAACATTTTTAATTTATAGATGAACTCTTCCTTATGATTCTGGTTCTTTTTCAAAGAAAATCTAAAAAATTGACAATGTGTGGAAAACGTATATTACATTATTTACCTTCATAACAAATCTGTTGTGAAATTATGAGAATTTCATCAGAACAGAAATAAAATGTATTATAATATATTATATTTTTTTAGGGGGAGGGGGGCTTCATATTAGAAATACATACCACAAAAAGTGAGTTTCCAAACTTTTTTTAAAGCGGGAAACAGAAATCATGTGCCTGAAAGTTTACTGCTGATTTTAATGCACAGCTGACAAGAAATAAGATGCATAATGATCGCAATGCCATAGGACAAGTTTAATGCAGCTCTGATGCATATATTGTATATTTTATGCATATTTTATTATGCTGATGCAACAATGCATACATTCAAAAATTGTTAACAGACATATAATTTGGTGAGTTTTGTTTGAGAACCAGATAACAATTCCCAACCCTGATTCTCAATAGACGACACTCTTATACTCAAACACCACAGCACGTACATCTGTCTATTAGCTTAACCTATTAACAGTACTCTGATCCACAGAAAACACTCCCAGCGCTTGTACAAATGAGTGCCATGACTAAAAGGAGAAACCCTTGAGAAATTCTGATCAATAATCTAGTGATGGAGAAAAAACAATCACAGAAAGAAAGCAAAAATACCACAGTAAAACAAGATCATATTTGCATTCAATAAATACAAAGGAGCCGTTACAGCGGCGTCTGTGTAAGAATTGACCGAACAGGCGCTATGATGACCAGTGTGAATTTCTCTGGAGTAGAGATGCATGAAAAAGTTATCAGACTACATCTGCGGTGGCACACTAAAGGAAAAAATATATCATTTCACTAGTGAATCCCTATTGTGATCAGAAACCATTCAAGAGTTATTTAAAGGTAGCATTACACATTCTAAGCACTTTTTTCTCATTCTTCCTGCCCATTGTTTGTAAGCAGACTGTCAGTGACAAAAAGAGCGGGAAAAAAAGACGAGCCGCCACGTCCGAGCGCCCCAGCTACCTGCTCATTTCTAATTAGTCTGAAACAAGAAGCATGGCCTCTTAGTTCTGAGAAAATGCTTGATCCATTGAATTTCAACTTCTCTTATTGTCCAATTTTGAAGATTATTACTCACTGATTCTGGCCATAACCAAGTAAGTCCGTTACATACATTAACCACACCACGCGCAGGGAACACAACGCAGTTGGACGGTCACGGTCAACCTCGCAGCCCAGCCCAACAAAAGTTGTCGATTTCCCCCGGATCCCATGGCGGCGCTGTAGCAGCTCAGTTATTCTGACAGCAGGCGCCCTGCTTGCCAGAATTCTGTGTAGGCTGTACAGTAATGGGAACCACTTTGGAGCTGGGGGAGAAGCTGTCTTCACCACGCCCTGACATCTGCCTCTGGGACACGATACGGTAGATTTCTGTGTGAGAGAGAGTCGGGCAGAGATAACGCCGTTACGGAGAGTTACCTGATAAAAGTGATCTAACAAAGTATGTTATTGACAGCGGAACAAATTCAGCTGCGGTTCATTGTGACACATAGAAATGATGAACAATGTAACTGTGAAACACTGTGTGGTTGAATAGATTTACTTCCCAGGCCAAACAAAAAATAAACAAAGAAAAACTGCAAAAAGTATACCAGTATTAGTGAGGTCAAACTTTTAAACACAGTTTCAGTCATTCACAGGAATAGCTGAGTATTTCTGTGGCTGGGAGTTTGCTGCCATCTAGAGGCAATAGTTAATAACAGACAAGCACTCTGGTTTTGGATTGCATACTATATGATTGAATCTTACAAAAACTGGCAAATGTCACACTTTTTTTAATTAAAGAAAAATGTTTCCTGTTTTTTTTTAATACAGTTTTATTATACATTTCATGACCAAGCAGAAATGTTTAACTACGCAGATTTCCTCAACCCCAAATTCTCATTAATGTAATGTGACAAATAATGATATTTTTAAAACATAAATGACATTTTTAAAATAGCCAATTGTATTTATTATGCTTTATTATTTTTAATTAAAAGCTTTTCTGGATGATTTTAATTTCTGTACTACAATGAGAATTAGATTTTTTCACATAGTAATGACAATATATCTAGGTCACATTTCACCCTAAAATAATAATAATAATAATAAACGTCATTTGAAAATGCCCCCCAAATTCTCATTATGCCAATGCATCTAAATGTTTAACTTTTGAGTGTTTTTAATGCTCATTATTCATGGGGTTTCTTTGAAAATTCTGGTATACGGTAAAAATTACTGTAACTTATTTTTGTTTTTAAATCAGCGTAAATTAAAAGGCAGTACAAAAAAACTATGCATAAAATGCTTCTATTTAAGTACTACTTTTCTCATTACAGTAAAGAGAATGTTCTTAACGAAACATGACAGCTTTAATGAGATTCACGCTTTTAGATGATTTGCTCAGGACTGACCTGTAAGAATGGTCTGAAAGGCAAGTTCAACATTAGAAGAGTCCAGCGCTGAGGTCTCCAGGAAAGAAAGTCCATGCTTCTCTGTAAAACACACACACACACACACACACAATTCAACAGAGCACTTCACATCTCCTAAACACACACAAATATATATCTTTTTTTTTTACTTTATATCTTGCTTCTCAAATACATACCGGTAATTAAAAAAAAAAAAGGTATAAATATCTACACAGAACATATCAGATAGCAAACCCTAATTCTGAAATAAACAAGTAGCATGCAACATATATAACAATTATTACTAACGTTCAGTACTTGAGACAACTGAGAAAAAGGTTAATAGGTTAAGAGCATGGCACTAGCAACACCAATGTCATGGGTTCAATTCAATTAGTATCTGAAAATATATTAAGTAAATAACAACACCTGAGCTTCAGTGTCACATGATCCTTCAGAGATCATTCTAATACTGTTTTGCTCAAGAAACATTTCTTATTATTATCAAAGTTGAAAACAGTTGTGTGGCTTCATATTTTTGTGGAAACTGATTGTTTTACAGGATAGAAATTTTAAAAGATCAGCTAGAATTTATTTTAAAATAATCTTTTGTCTTTACTGTCAAAAACTCTTACTGACCCCAACCTATTGAACAGTAGTTTACAAGTCTCTGTCCCTACATGACATTAGGTATTTTTATATTGAAATGTTTAACTAAAGGCAAGCATTCATTACTATGCATCTTGGGTGTAGTTTTATTCTAACTGTATTTAGGTGTAACTTAATCAATTATACATTTGATTAGCCAGAAAATGACTCAACTGAAACACTTAATAATGAGTAGCCTGAGAATTACAGTTCAAACTATCTTCCCCAGCACTAACCTGCAAACGCCTTGGCTTCATCCATAGGAACAGCCCTCAGATGGCGCAAGTCACTTTTGTTCCCTACTAACATGATGACAATATTGCTGTCAGCATGATCCTGCAGCTCCTTCAGCCAGCGTTCGGCGTTTTCATAGGTCAGATGCTTGGCGATGTCATACACCAGCAGGGCTCCTACGGCACCTCGGTAATACCTTTGAATACACACATTTAAAAGATGCATTTATTTAGGCTTTAAAATATACACAATTTATTCCACAACCTAAAGTGCTCATTAATAGTGTGGTTACCAAGAAGAATGTTCATGTGATTATTACTTTTATTAGAGTCTTCATCTTATCTGAATGTACATCAAGCTCATTCAAATTGGCCCTTAGTACTTGGGAGTCTATGGCATCGCGTTATCTACTATACGTTAAAAACATAAGAGCCTGTAATTTTTTTACTTGAATGTGCAAGGCGTCAGGGTTAGGGTTAGGGTTAGGGTTAGGGTTAGACTTTTAACTGAAATGCCTACAAACGGAACTTTTGTTTAAAATCAGAATTAATTAATTCAAATTATTTATATAGTACGTGAAAGAATTTGACATCAAGGATGTCAAACGGGATATAACATTGTATCTTGATAGATGATGAAAGTGCCACAAAAATGAGTAAAAATCATTCAAACTTGTAATAACATGGCCTTTAAATTATGCTTTTTGTCTCTATTTGTGTGTACTTTCCAAATGTTATATCAATTTTTTTAGGTTCAGCACACGCATTCCCACAGATTTTTGTTAGGTGTGATTTCTCAGGTAATAGGGACATGTTACATGTTCATATATATATATATATATGCGTGTGTGTGTGTGTGTGTGTGTGTGCAATGTGCACACAAAAAAGGACATGACTTAGCTGATGTCTTGATTGCTTTTATGAAGACACTTACGCTGAGGTGATGGCCCTGTATCTCTCCTGTCCAGCCGTGTCCCAGATCTGGGCTTTGACGGTCTTGCCCTCCACATGGATACTGCGTGTGGCAAACTCCACCCCGATGGTGCTCTTGCTCTCCAGGCTGAACTCATTGCGGGTGAAGCGAGAGAGCAGGTTACTCTTGCCCACACCAGAGTCGCCAATCAGAACCACTGCGGATGACAAGGACAACTGGCTCAACTTTATGGTGCTTTTATATGCGTGCTATTGACCCTGGAGACACACATGACTCTGTGAGAGCTCTTTCAAGCCGATTCCATTTGTGCGCGGGCTAAAACTGCCATGACTCCACCGCACAATAGCAATTAGAGTCAAATGTTTCACACACAGAGGGTGTGTTTCCACAAAGCTTTTAACAATGAGTGAAAAGGGCAAGACCAATGAGCAACTCCCTTCTTCACCCACACAGGCAGACTTATGAAATACTGGGAATGTCTCTCTCCCGCTGATAGAGGCACAAATGGAAAAGATATTATTGAGAAATTATATTTACAGTTACACAACTGTTCAGGTAGTTTGGGGCCAGTAATATTCGTTTTAAAGAAACTAATACTTTTATTTGGTTGCATTAGTAAAGATTTGTACATTGTTATAAAAAAATCTGTCAATTTTGATCTGTTTCAAATAAATGCTGTTCTTTTGAACTTTCTATTCATCAATGAATCCTGGAAAAAAACATGATGTTACCGTGTCCACAAAAAATATGAAGCAGCACGACTGTTTTCAACATTAATAAACATAATAAATGTTTCTTGAGCAGCAAATCAGCATATTAGAATGATTTCTGAAGGATCATGTGACACTGAAGACTGGAGTAATGATGCTGAATATTCAGCTGACATCACAGGAATAAATTACAGTTTCAAATATATTCAAATAGAAAAGAGTTATTTTAAATTGTAATAATATCTGACAATTTTGTTATTTTGTGCAGCCTTGGTGAGCATAAGATACTACTTTCAAAAGTATTTAAAAATTGTCCAGACCCCAAACTTTTGAACATTCGTTTATAATTTGTGCCTGAGGTTTCTGAACTTAAAATGTATTTACCAACCCTGTCCTTCCAAACTTGTCCGTAGAACACAAAAAGTGAATCATAGGCCCGGTTTCACAGACAGGGCTTAGATTAAGCCAGGATTAGGCCTCACTACAATTAGGACATTTAAGTAGCTTTTATAAACATGCCTTAGAAAAAAAAAACATTACTGGTGTGCATCTTGAGACAAAACAATAGCACTGATATATTTTAAAATTGTCATGGTCATATTTTAAAATTCAGTTAAAACAACTCAAACATGCATTTTAGCCTGAGACTAGCTTAAGCCTTGTCTGTGAAACCGGGGGTTAATCTTATTTTTCATATAAAGACTGGCGACATAAACGAAAACTGACACACACACACACAAAAAACCTCTAATTCTAATAAATCTTATTCTCAAATCTGTATATTCAAACTATCATGTGACGTTCAGTTTGGACATGTGAGAACCAATCGTTTTTGCCTTCAAGAATTTTGATTTTTTTTTTTTACATCTGACCGTCAACGTTGGAAGTCAATAAGATTTCAAAGCTTGAGCGTATGCAAGGCCTATCAGTGAATAACAACTTGAATTTCAGTCTGTTCGTCACACAAAGTTATTGTATAACACCACATTCACAAGACCAGAGTATGACATGAAGGTGATTAAATAATGCCAATTTTCATTTCACCTAAATCTAAACCAATCTTAGCTAATGCCGTCAACTTATTAACATGAAAGAATAAAATCCACCAACACACGTCTCAGCTATATCTGTTCTAATGATAATGGTCTGAGTTAAACACACAGGAGTGCACTTTGACAAAGACTTTGGTTGTTTTAAAACTAGTGGAAGGGCATGTTTAAAGAGCGGAGCGGTGATTGAACAGCACTGATTGATTTATGATCAAACAGCCAAAGGTGCACGGACATCTTAAACACACATGGAGGTCGAGGGAAGAACTATGACTAATGGAAGTGTCGAATCCAAGGACATAATCATCAAACCAGAAGTTTAAGAGGTCAATACCATTAGTATTCGGATTAGTCAATCACCATATGGAGAAATTCTTAAACAAGACAAATGGATGATCTAATCTTCCAGATAGTTTTCCCTGTATTAGGAATAGGAATCAAATGGGTAAGATATCATAAGTTTTAAAAACCTTCTGAATGCAAACCCATCCTGAGAAAGACCTGATTTATACAGGTCTTACCAGTTTAACTGTGCTTATACTGCTCACACTATTGAATGAAACCTCAAAATCAGTTTTACACACAAAAGACAAAATGTTTTTTCCTTTTCCATGTGACAATTGCATTAATGTTAAAATTGTCCATTTCCATAACAAAATATCAAATGTCTGATCTGTATTAAATTATAACAGATTAAGAGAAGCCAATCATGTGGTATATTATATAATCAAGTAAAAAACAACACTTAGAAATTATTAAAATGTATAAGTTTGTGCCTTTTTAAGTATTTGGCATGAACAAAAAAACATAGTATGGTAGTGGAACAAGTAACTTGCTTCTCCCTGCTGTAAGATGAACATTAGCTGGTTGACCTGCCAAAAACCAGCTTGTCCACCTTAAGCTGGTATGACCAGGTGGTTTTTGCTAGTCCAAGGTGGTCTACCAGACATTGACCTACTTGGACCAGCTTGAAACAGTTGCCATGTTGCAAACCACAGGTTGAATATGCTAAACTGTGTTTTAGAATAGAAAAAGCAGACTTCCTATAACAAAATAGAGACATGCAGCATTATGAAGACGTGGACATGCAGGAGTTCATCTGAAAGTTAGCTGTTCTGGAAGTGTAGTAACGTGGTAGCCTACTCACCTTTAAAGAGATAGTCATACTCGTCCTCTCTACCCGTCATGACTTTAATCTTCTTACCGGCTTAATAAGAACTCCGTGTTTTCAAATATTAACACTTTATGCTCTTCTTGATAACCACAACGTGCTCTTATATTTATTACAAGGCCAAAAAACTTTGTTTACGAGACGCATCAGCTGATCACGAGCACTTCATTACGCGCGCACTTCGTACGTTTAAGACAGTCAGAACCAAAAATAATATAATATATCTCCTTTTATCGACAGTTATATATAATGTAATCGTCAAGCAAAACAGATCCCTGATTAGTCTAAATTACACTTTGATACGATGTTGCTGTGCTACGTCAACCAAGTTTCGCCCTGCTGTCTCATCTTAAGGCACACACTTACGTCACCGTGCTGAGATGTAGCCCCGCCTTTCCGGTGATCTGATTGGCCAGAAACACTTTCTGTCACACGATTGTGCCTCTGTCATCCAATGAAATGTTTGACTGGGCTTCCGCACAGGTGTGTAACGTCACAGGTGTGTCTTTTATAGTTGTCAGGAAAACACAACGTATAATAAATTCAAATACAATAAATGCACAGCTTTAAATAAAGACATACGGTATAATAAAACACGAGGTAGCCTGTCAATACAGTAGAAAAATGGCTTAAAAGAAAGCGTTACAGGTGTGTGTAAGATGAGTTCTTCCACATTCCACAGCGTGACTTCACTCATGCTTTACAGAGGATGATTGGGCCTGAAAATGCCACGTAGGAGGCAATGAGGAGGCAGGGCTGCACCATTCAGTGACTGAACAGAGAATGCCCTTTAATTTCCGATTCATTTATGAAATTGTTTAGCATGTGCAGGATGTCGATGGATGTGTTAGTATAGGAAATAAATAGAAACATTTGCTAATTTAGTTGTTATAGAACAAAATGTTAAATTATTCAAAGAGGCCATACCCCCGGTAGGCTACCCCCGGCTAAACCAGAATGTATAAATGACTTTTGATACAATTCGTATTAATATTTATATATAGTTTAAAGTGTCATTAATGTAAAATACTAAATAAACTTCTATTTAAAGTTTTATTTTGACAATTTTGTTAAATCATAATCCAAGTAAAAGAGATTCATTTGAAAGATAAAATTATTCTGTGACTTATAGGCATATGAATATTTACATATTTAATTGCCCATATTGTAATTGAAGATGTGATAATAACAACACTATAAATTAAAATTGAATGATTTCACTCAACTAACCTATAGGTTTTAATGAAACTGAAGATGACTGAAATGTACATCTAATTCTTGGGATACATCTTACCCCGACATACCATATATATATATATATATATATATATATATATATATATATATATATATATATATATATAGTTTTGATCATTTCCTTTTGTTGTTATACTTTATATATTTTTCAAACTGCACTTGAAATTCATTGTGGAAAAACAATTCAGACTTCTTTTTCTTTCATAGTCATGCTTTAATTATTATTGGAAAATTACATACGGGATATATTTTCTTTTTAGCTTCAACAACAGCAATTGATAACATCACCATCAGTGATCATATTATCATAATGATAATAACAATATGCCAAAATGTCAAGCATTCATTACAAATAATGAAGATAAAAATCAGCACTTTGCTTATATACATATTTTATATATTTTTAATAGCACAAAATATTGATTTAGTGCTGATCAGTCTTAAATACTGGAAATAAGTTATGTTTTTTTATTTTATTATCTTCATTAGGCGTGTTAAATTAATCAAATTAAAAACTAATGTGAAAAAAATGTGTAAATGGAAAGATATGTTCTTTCCTCAATCTTATCAGCTAATTACAGTGATAAAGTTATTTCTCAAGCATGTATTGATATCAATAAGTGGAGTAAGATGAATTGCTGGTTGTATTCCTCATTGGATAAAAGCGTCTACTTAATGCAAGTAAAAAAAAAGAAAAGAAAAAAGTTTGGGTTGATATTTCTAAAATAATACAAACAAAAATATCCTATACTAAGAGGAAACATATAGGGAAAATATATTTTTAATTAAGACATTTGAATATGATGTAAAATTTACATGAATCCTTGTAAAACTTGACAAATATCAAAATGCCTAATATTTAGGAATACAAATATGGCTATGTCAGTCAATGAAATGGATTTCCTTTAGCTTTTTACCATACTGGTTGTTTCTTAATAATATCTCAACTGCAGTACAAGCTGAATTCACAACTCCATTAGGACCCTTGTGAAGACTTCTGAACATCCAGAATGTGGTTCTTTCACATGTTCTTGCAGCAGGCCTTCTTCTCCTGTGTGTCGTCTGCTGGAGCATTAGGTTGGGACAACGTCACAGCATTGATAGAGCCTCGGGTCACTTCTTTGCTACTCACCTTTTTATGGATTTCTGAGAAAAACAGTAATGACAACATGATTATGATAATGAAGCCAAGTGCTTGTCTACAACAGGCCTATTTCAAGCCTGACTGAAGGGGAGAAATCCAGAGGGCAAGGAACACATGTAAAGTACATGTAAATAAGGTCTGGTGTGTTCAGAATACACAGTAGATATACCTGAAAGCACAGTGTTGAATGCTGCCTCAACATTTACTGACTCCAAAGCTGAGGTTTCCATAAACAGTAGACCATTCTTTTCTAAAATGAGAGAGAGAAAAAATATGATAATATATTAATAAAAATCAACTTGTGGTTGCTGGAATACATATACACACTGCCCAGTCAAAAAAACAAAACAAAAAGTTGCTGTTTGGATTTAAATAGACACATGCTTAAGAGTCTATGATTAGATCATCATTGCAGTGATTATTATGTTTGGCAACAGTTCTTCTAACCCTGATTGATGGAGTGTGTAGCTTTTCATTTCTTAAACAAGACACATCATGGCCATATTCCAGGATGACAATGTCATGATTCATCAGGCTCAGATTGTGTAAGAATTGGGATGGAGCATGAAGAATCATTTTCACTCATGAATTGGCTCCTCTGAGTCCAGAGCTTAAATTCATTGAGAGTCTTTGGGATGTGCTGGAGGAGACTTTACAGAGTGCTGGACTCTTGCATTGTCAATACAAGATCTTGACCAAAAACTGATGCACCTCTTGATGGAAATAACATCACAAAATTAATTTCCACCAAGAGGTGCATTGTAAAGTCTCCTCCAGCACATCCCAAAGACTTTCAATGAATTTAAGGTCTGGACTCAGAGGTGCCAATTCATATATACAGTATGTATATATATATATATATTATAAATAAAATAAAGCATGACCTGCAAAGTCCCTTGCGTCCTCTGTTGGAACCGACCGTACTGCTGCCAGGTCCGATTTATTGCCCACAAGCATCACTACGATATGAGCATCTGCGTGATCGTAGAGTTCCTTCAACCAGCGCTCGGCACTTTCATACGTCAAGTGCTTTGAAATGTCGTAGATTAGTAGGGCTCCAACTGCTCCTCGATAATATCTGAAGCATAGGAAGCCAGATCATATCAGGTCAGGTGACTGGATTTACTTCCTTTTCTGAATGAATAGAACACTGTCATAAAACATTACGTCATATAGCAGAATGATAGAACTTGATTTAGAATGACAGGTGAGAAATTAATTGAATAGCAACAGGTGGTGAAATATGCTGTTACAAATATACACTACTTTCCAAAAGTTTCTTCTAGCTTTATTCATTATAATTTTTTTTATAATGTTACAAAAGATTTCTATCTCCTTTCTTTTCCTCAAAGAAATCCTGAAAAATATGCATCACGGCTCCTACAAAAATATTAAACAGCACAACTGTTTTCAACATTGATAATAATCAGAAATGTTTTTTGAGCACCAAATCAGCATATTAGAATGATTTCTCTGAAGGATCATGTGACACTGAAGACTGGAGTATGCTGAAAATTCAGCTTTCTATATTAAAATAGAAAACGGTTATTTTAAATTGTAATAATGTTTTTTTTTTACTGTATTTTTGATCAAATCAATAAACATATGAGACTTGTTTAAAAAAAAATCTTACCAACTTCTTAAAATGGTAGTGCATAAATAAAATTTTATATATATATATATATATATATATATATATATATATATATATATATATATATATTATAATTAAATAAAGTAAAATAAAAAAAATTATTCATTTTTTTTTAGCTCCACAGCTATGGTCAACATTAACTAATGTTAACTAAAATATATTAACTAAAAAAAAAGAAGAAAAAAAAGTGTGTTATATGTTCCACAGAAGAAAGAAAACCATGGCATGATGCTGAGTAAATTATGTCAGAATTTCCATTTTTGGTGAATTATTTGCTTGTCTAGCAGCACCATTTGTAAGGCCCTTAAATGTTGCATGCAAAACTCACGCAGAAGTGATGGCCCGGTACCGCTCCAGTCCGGCAGTGTCCCAGATCTGAGCTTTGATGGTGAGACCATTTAGCTTCACAGTTCTTGTGCTGAACTCCACTCCGATGGTCGTCCGGCTGTCATGACTAAATTCATTCTTGGTGAACCGTGAAAGCAAGTTGCTCTTGCCAACACCAGATTCTCCAATAAGAACCACTGCAACAAAACATGGAGGTGCATATGAGTCAGAGTCTACACATTAGAAAAAAGATTCAGTAGGGTTCTATTTATTTACTTTTAAAGAACCCTTTATGCCAAAAAGGGTTCTATATAAGGTGAAATGTCTTAAATGATTGCAAAATACTTTCATATTTGAATTTTTTTCAAGTGATAAAGCATGTTTACGAGTTGTTTAATTCATAAAGTTTAACCAAAATATCAGATGATTTAAAACAAAATGAATGAATTAAAACTAAATCCATTCAAATATCCCATGATGGGAACCCCTAAAAGATTCTATTAAGTGTTTGACAGAAGAAATGCTCCCAACCAAGACTTGGTGTCATGGCTATATGGTGTCCTCTTGGCATAGGGCACTCATTGTACTAAACACAAACACTGCTTGGTGAACTCAGGAAACACTGCAAAAAAATCAAGGTGTTAATGGCAAATTTTTCATGGGTGGGGTCAATGAGTGCCTTATAGCAAGAGGACACTATATAGCATGACACCAAGTCTTGGTTGCTAGCATTTCTACACTCTTTAGCAACACCTTTTGTGTAAAATCGATGATTAGTTGCGGATTAAAGGACCAGACATTTACAGACTCGTGATGCAATTGTCCAAAATGTAATATGTGTTGTCTTGGACTTTTTTGAATGTAAGAAATTGGGAAATCATTTGATAATAAGGACTGATTCTGACTTTAAATTCTGATTGGATAAGCCACATTCAAAACATTTATATTAACGTATTTGGCAGACACTTTTATCCAAAGTGACTTGCATTGAATTCAAGATTATTATTTAATGCATTGTCTTGGAATCAAACTCATGACCTTGGCATTGCAAGTGCCATACTCTACTGTTTAAGCTACAGAAATGCCAGGAAAACATAGAAAGCCATTGTAAAATACAGATAAATGCACACAGAAACACACTGAAAGAAAACAAATGGAATTGGCACATGGTATATTCTGCCAGGACATTGTTCATTAAGTTTACAGACATTTCCTTTAACCGCAAAGAACAATGCAATGTGCAATTGAAAATTCCTTCATATTAACACAGTATATTGGGCCCTATTTTTACAGACTTATCTTAGAGTGAAAGGTCATGGGTTGAAGTCCCAGAGAACACACAAATTGATAAGTTGCTTTTGATAAAGCTTCTGCCAAATGCATAAATTTATTTCAGCCATTTACAGAGTGAGAAAATAAAGCGGGGGTTATTTATCTTTACAATGTTCCACCATTTTACTCCAAGTAGGTCATGTTTCAATGCAATTATTATTCTTTTAAAGTGCAACATTAAAGGTAGGCTAGGCGATTTGCGGAGAGGCTAGCAATAGCGAGCTAGCTTTGTAAGCATAAGATCCCACCCTCCCTTCAGAGTGTCTCCAAAGCCAAGCCTCCTTCAAAACACATGAACGCGTACAGCAGGGAGCAAACAAAAGCGTCAAGAGAGACGGCGTTAAACTACCTCATGTCTCAAACACATAACATTACAATAATAATGAACATAAACAACTTAAAAAGCACTGACCTGTAGCATCTGACTGCTGCAGATTCATTTCGGCGTTGATAGTGTTGCCATTGAAACGCATAAATTCGAGTTACGAACCGCTCTGAGTATAACGTCACGGGTTTCCATCTCTTCCAAATTACGATAGTTATGGCGTGAACACAGCATAAGCTTGTTGTTTTGGTTCAGAGTGAACTGTCAAAAGTGGCTGCTGTTTCGGTTGCTGTGCTCGTTGACTGTCGTCTGTCTAACTCGTAACATGAAACGCTCTGACGACGTGTGATGTCTGCGCGAGCAGGTGCGAGGAGTTATGGAAATACATACGTTGACATGCAGGTAAGATATCGTATCATAGCATTCAGAGAACGAATTCAATGATTGGACGAACATTTTATGCTCCTACGTCTTCCACAGACGAGATTTGTTTACATATAAATATATTTAGACCACTTAACTTAGTGATCGCTTTCAGGGTGTGAAGAGACTTTCATCCAGCATTACAAAAATGTTTCTAGTACAAATCGCCTACCCTGCCTTTAATGTCTCATGCAATCACGCATCGACATCCTGATGAGGAAATTGTCCAGGCTTGTTGTTCATTAAAACTTGCGACAGAAGTAGTTTTATTTTGCCAGAACAAACCCACACTGGATGAACAGTGTGTCAGTCCCAGTCTAACACTTCACTTTATGAAAACCCTGGTAATTGTAGGTGCAAACAAGAATGACTCAAACGAGTCAGAAGCAAAGTCAACACTCCACCCATGTAGGACAATTATGACATTAATTTATCATATTATGTCAGGAAATGGGACAATTATTGACATAAAAATAAAAAATTATTAGAAAATGAGATATACACAAGGTTTAAGCATATTATAGTAGCCTATAAGAAGTATGTATTAGTTAACTCATGCACAACTATCTGTGTGTATTGAAAGTGTTTGATATTTTCATGTCATTTTTTATTAAACCATCAGGACAGGTGATAAATATACTAAAGCTGGCCTTCTTTTAAATTGTTTCCTTTAAGTACATCGTGTTTTAGCCGTTTCAATTTAACCCGAAATGAAACCAACACACAATGCATGTCATTTTAAGTAGTCGCTGTGGTTTGGTATCATTTGTGCAGATCACAGTTTCACAATGGGCTTCTTCAAGAGGTACAACTATTTCCCCTCCTATATTGAGTAACAGACCTCAGTAATCTTGTGTAAACAAACCCTTGTTGTCATGGAAATCAGATTTCAACCAACCCATAGAACAGCATTTGTTTTGTGGTAAACCAACCCTCAGAGCTTTACTTAAAGGAGGAATTCAATTGCAAGTATTTCTAACCAATGATACGACTTTTTTGTATAACAATGTGCAAAGTAAGTGACATTTTCTACAAGTACTGCAAAAACAGTGGGATGAGTGCATACTGATAATGAAACTAATTCAACTTAATCTAAAGACAGTTTAAGTTTACATTAGATTCTGTTTATCATGCATTACCATCGTAACTATACAGAAGTGTCAAATCTTACCTTTGAAAACAAAGTTGTAGGCCTCATCAGACCCCATATTGCCACTCTTGTAAGCAGATCTATCTTCACTACTAATCTAGATTAATGCTGCATGAGTCAAAATCCCAAGGAGAATCAAGAATGATAGTTTCCCCGCTCTATAATACAGAGGCAGACCTAAAAGAGCAGAAAAACAGTACTACATATAAATGAAATGCCACTGTTTATGGTGGCCAGTTCACTTGTTTCTACAAGGAACTAGCTCTGTTATTTAGCCTGGCAGTTCCGCTATGAGATGTGCCGTACCTGGGGAAGGTGGGCGTGACTTTAGTAGCGCTCGAGTCAGGTCAAACAGGTAAGGCGAGAACAGGTGCAGTCACATGAAACTGTGTGCAATAGTGCACCTGCTCAGCCAATGAAAAGAAGACATACACACCATCCACAACCAATCAATTTCTTTTAAGCAGTCTCTCCCAAGATCAGGAAGACATTCGCAATGGAAGAGCCCCTCCCATGGTACATATTTTGATTTACATGGTTGAAACATCATTGCTTGAAACACAAATATTACAAATGATATAACAGTGATATTTTATCTTTAGACACATTGCAACACATTCAATGTTTAGGGGAATAAAATTTGAAAAACTGATTCTGTAAGTTACTGTTTCAATTAATATTATTTCAGACATAATAAAAAAAGTGCTTTAAATAAGGCAAAACAACAACATGTAACAAAACATTTATTTATTTCATATTGTTGACACAACACTATGGAAGCTTGTTTTAGCCACAGAATAAAAAAGGTAATTGCGACTTTTTCATCTCACAATTCAGTTTTTTTCCCCTTGCAATTGAAAGTTTATATCTTACAATTCAGACTTTATAACTCGCAGTTGTGGTTTATTTGGAGAAATTCAGAGGGGATTTTCTTTTAGAAAAAAATTTCCCCTCACAATTCTGACTTTCTTCTTAAAATTGATTTATTAACTCGCAATTGCGAGACATAAATCTGCAATTCTGAGGGGGAAAAAAAGTCAGAAATGTGAGATTGAAAAAAACAATAAATACCTGATACACGTTTTTATTCTGTGGCAGAAGCAAATTTCCATAAGACACAGCCTGATCACTGACTGTAAAAAGTCCTGAGACATAAACAATAAACAAAAAAAAAAGAGAAATGCAGTTCAAATGTATTAATTCATGTTTATGCAAATACTTATTTTGGGTTTAACCGTCACATAATTTGATACAGCAATCAACTTGAGTATGCGAATAAATAAAGCCATATATATTATTGTATAAAGGCCAAGATCTTGTACTCAAATCCACACATCAAAAGTACATCCTACGACGCTGCCACTTGTGTTAGTGGTTCTTCAAGGTACTGCACTAAAGCCTCAGCCTGTGAACATAAAAAAAACATTTATGATTGTTCAAGAAAAAACATAAAACGTAAACTTGAACCTTAGTAACTGAGAGTTCATGTACACCACATCTCACCTTGGCTTTAAGCATCCCAAATCCGACTGTCTCCTTGGCATACATGCAAAGCAACAAGTTTGCAACACGTGTAATGGCCACCCTTCCCTCCTGTAATGACAGAGAAAATACAGTGCATTATAAAGAAAAATTATGGTCGAAATAAAACACCTGCAACTGCAGTGGTTCATCATGTTAGTATTATTTCTGGTATGGTTTAATTTCTAAAAACAGATTATAACCCATGTGTTTAGCAATGGCCTAAAGCAGCTGCTGTGCTAAATGTGTGCATATCTTGTATAATGCATACGTTATTGCACATCTCAAAGATTATCATTTACTATAACCCAACTGTACAATTTCATTCCTACCATACAATCCATCAGAATGAATTTCAGTTTGTCCTCATTAAAGGCCTGGTGTCCGTTTTTGTCGTAAGCCGCCCAGATGTTGCTGGCAATAGCTGCGGTGACTCTTGCATCGGTGTCTCCATATCCAGAATATGCCAACAGGGAGCCTTCGTTGTTCAATAACCTAAAATAAAACACAGCACAAAAACACTTCATATTATATGACTTTGACTCGTAAAGAAGCCAAAAATTAGGCCTATATGAACACCAAATGACATCATTTTGCTCAGTGACTTTTTAAATAACTGTTGTTTGGGTGGTTTTTAGTGGATGTATGTCAGTCAGTTCTCCTTGAATTCACACATTTAAACAAAAAAACGTTTTTTTTTAGACATGATTTACTTAATCTTGTGCGCTCTCTCTCTCTCTCTCTCTATATATATATATATATATGATATGTAATAATCTATTGCAAAGACATTCCGATATTTGTAAGTATTACTCAAGTCTCCAATCACGTTCGGAGCTACTGCACGAATATGACATTTGTTAATGAATAAAGGACACAAAATACCTTAATTGAACATGTTTTGAATAACATAAATGTACATCATTGTTTCATACCAGTGTATCTGCCAGCTAAAGCTACTGATATGAACAAAGATTGAATTTCATATACTTACAGTGTGCTTTGAACTCCACTGGTGTTTGCTTGACTGAGTACTTGTGTCAATGCTTTAGGACGCAACATAATTAAATGAAAAGAGGAAAGACACTAATAAACGTTTAAAATGTACGCGATAGCAATAACTTCCAGGAGCACAACAAGAAAATCAGCTGACTTCTTCCTTCCGCCCTGATGGTTCATGGGAAATGTAGTGTCATGGTAGTGCCTAGGAACTACAAAACCGTGGCCCGGCCTAGACTAAAGATCACTTGGAGAGAGAACCAACGGATGATTTATTTACATGTTTTCGGGGCATTATTAAAATAAAGGAAACCACAAAATCAGTGTTCTTTTTTTAAGGGGATTTCTAGTCATTTTGGGGCGCACATAAACTGATACTTTAAAACTTTTATTAAAACGTTTTCTTGTATATTGGCGATGCATAAATGTGTTTTAAAATCACAAATAATGTCAATACTTTTTTATCGGTCCAACAAGGATTCACTAAGGTATAGTGCTACTTCAGCTTCCAGGCAAATGCGCTTTCTTTACTATAGTATAGTGTGCTCTGACCGCTTATCTAGTTTTTTTTTTAATCGATGTTATACTTGCATGTAAATACAATATATACTTTAGAGACCTCCCAACCTTTTGTCTTTACTTCCTTTGGGGAGTGAGGGCCTTCAGGGCACAGCAGCAACAAGTGTACAGCCCTTGGTTAAAACTGTGAGGGTAATATCACTAAGGGATTTCTTAACTTCAAAGGTTTGTTGCAACTAGCTCGTCCCAATAAGTCACAACCTGTTTTTAATTTAAATGTACATTCTTAAATATAAAGATTCTTTATTTGGCTTCTATAGAGAACCTTCAACATCCATAGAACCTTTCCAATGCACTAAAGGTTATTTATTGTGGGGAAACAGGTATGTTAGATTATTAAAATGTTCTTCACACCTGTTCACACCAGTGCATGGTTTCGAGACTCTGACCAATGAATTTCCATAATTTTTAAATAATCTTTTTAAAATCATTTTTATAGTAACTGCACCCACAAAAAAACAATTTGTACAGCTGAGCATAACAGAATCTGTATTCACCATAAGATTTACCATAACTTTTATATGGTAAATCTTATAACTTATCATACCTCACAATTTTAAAATTCCAGATTTTCAAAGGCCAACTTCTCATCATATTGTGTGCCAAAGTACATTACCAATGTTATTTAAGGTAGCAATCTTAATGCTTAAAGCTTTGTGATAGCAGAAATAAATGCATGTACAATGTATCAAGATGAACAAATGACTTTTGTGTGACCTCCCTAATTTGACAATACCTGCAACCCTCAGGTGAATTAAAAACATTGTGGTTATAAGAGAACATGATCATGCAATCCTTAAACCATTATTTGTAAACCATTTCAAAACGCATTGCAAAGAGTGACTAACATTGGACTTAAGACAAAATCAGATGTTGGCTTAAAGGAAAAACAAACCTCAATTAATGCATGTTTCTGTATTGTAATTCAAGTATAATAAAAAGTGGATTATGGATGTGCAGCAAAAAAAAAGTTGAACATTTTAATTTACATCAAATCTCTGTTAGTATATAGCTGTTGGTTAGCACTGAGAGAAGCTAGCATCACTATCATGCTGTAACCAGTTTTTGATTTGCCAGAGCAACTTGAGGATGATGTTTCCAGTATACAATACAAGTGTGTTCCAGGCACTAGAATACTCCTAATTCAAAGCATAAAGATATGGTCAAAACAAATGGTTTCTGCGTTCGCCACTGCTCGTTAAGCTGAGAAATATTTTATTGATGCTTTGTTACAGCCTTACCCATATGACAAGCCTTTACGGTCAATTGAGGTACACTCCTCACAAAGGCAAACGACTAAAGAGATGACTGAACACCTTTTCCAAACCTCATCTCCAAAATTCATTCCTTTTTTCTAAAATAGCTGAAGTGTAAGCAATCAGAGTCAAGGTGTTATAGTGCTCCAACATGTTCATGTCTATTAGATTTTGATTAACACATCAAATGTCAAGGAACGCTCAAATCAACGTCAACTGAGGAAGGTGGAAAGGGAGTAAAGGTTAAGCTCTACATTTCTGCAATAAATACTGGTTTGATCAGGCATGAATTAGAAGAAATAGAGAAATTAAGGAAACCAAGCATTCTCACAGAAGACAAGAATCTCTCCGACCTCAGAATTCAAGCGGATGGATTTTATTCTCCTAACCACCGAGTAGTGCCTCAGGTGAGCATGTTCTAATTGTAAGGAATGGTAACTTAAACTTGGTTCAGCAAATGTAAGCTTTGTCCCATCTTACTAGTGATGAGGGGTTAGTGTGACGTCATTCCACAGCGATTCTGGTTTGTTTTTTCAAGGAAACAAATTTGAAACCTCTTTGCTTTGACTCAGAGATCAACTGATCGAAGCAAAAAAAAAAAAAAAGGAAATAAAAAACAAGATTGGAGTAATTGGAATTCTGTCTATGTAGGGCTTGTCAGACTTTATGTGATGAAGGACTATGAAGGACTTCTTGTCTTCCTTCGCACGCTCTCAGCTGATGGAATTAAGAAGGCTGGGAACCGAGCAGTCTTTCGATGGCGGCATTGATGTCCCCCCCGGTGGCGATGAGGGCCTGCAGGTTGGCTTCCCTGTTGATGAAGCCCATGGCACTCAGCTGCTCCAGCTGTTGCTGGAAACGCACTTCTGGAGTCGGAGTCTGCAAAGCAAAACAAAGTGAGTACAACCAACCATACTCTTAAGAAGTGTAATTAACAGTAACAAAGAAACATGAGTACCGATGCACTCCCTCCAGCAAACATCTG